TAGTCAACTTTTTATTTCAACTGCTTCAGTAAAATCATTAAAATTTTTGTTCGTAAACGTTCATGAAAGATTGAAAAAAACAAGTAACTTACACGGATGATTTTTTTTACTGGCGGTTCATGGTACAAATTTAATTATTTATTCGGAAACAAACTCATTGATGTTATCAAGTTTTTGAACAAATGGAGTACGGAAGAGGTTTATTTTAATTTCTTACAGTCTACCAATGACTTGATGCCTTATATAATAACCTGTATAAGGCGATAGTTAGTGTAAAATGCGCGTGCCCACGATCATTTAGGGCAGGCACCGGCGCCTTATCAGCTTTCAATCGCTGTTTTTTTATCATTATTGCGCATTCCTTGGAAATTCTTACATAGTTAAACGCACATTTTAGCTATTTACCTGTGATCAATCTAACTTGCTTGAGAAAAGAACCATGCATACAGACACTTTGATTAGTATTTGTTATATTATTTTGAATATTTTCCATTTACCCTCTACTTCCAACAAATATTTTCCTAATAAAACGTCAAAATATCAATCATATTTTTTTAAATTTAATCCTTAATCTTTCATACAGACGCTCTAGTCAGAGCGTCATTCTAAAATATTCTTGTTAACATCCTTAATAATATCGTCACACTAATATCAGAATTCAGAATCGAAAGAATTTAACTTAAAAATTCTTATTAAGACCGGACAAGCGACGTAATTGTGAAATAATAAGAATATTTTTTATTTAGTTAGAATAACGTTAACCATGTATGGAGTACAGCTATAACTTAACACAGGCTATTAAATTTTTTTCCCGCTTTAATGATTGACACGACCCAGTTCCACCCTATTAACAATCTTGCAACGTAAAAAATTCCGCACTGGTAAAAAAATTGCAGCGAAAAATTACAGATGCAAGTTTCTTTAGCGAACTGCAGAGCCTATTATAAATAATTAATGATACCATCTCTTATGCACGATAAAATGCCATTATGGTTTTCATCGGATTTGCAAAAACACCCAAAACCGCCGGTCTCTATAAAAACGATGGTCAAGTTTGTGAAAGGATGTGTACATTTGAGTTCCTTATAGAATAACTGTCAAAGATACTTTTGAAAATCGTGCTGTCTTTACTCTTTGAAATCGTATACCGTCTCTTATTAGTCAATAATTTGCAAGTAACATTGTTTCTTATCTTGATACAATTTGAGGCTAAATAAGTTACTATATAAAAGATATTTAATTAAAGAATAAGTGGTATTTACGGATTACTATCAGGGTGCTGAATAATGTAAACAGATAAGAAAGTATGTAGGCAACAGTTTACCTAAGGTAAACCTAGTAAGAAAGAATAATAAATATACTATAGCAAAGAAGAATACGTGCGAAACTTAGGCCCTAGATATAAAAATATAATAAAGAAGTTTAGATACAAAATTATTACGAGAAAGTATTACCAAAACCGAACTGAATTAAACAAAATCCTTTTTCAAAAAGCATACCACGGATCCCTGATACATAAAAGACAGCGCTTGCATTGCTGGAATTCCTCTATTTCTTACTGCTGCTTTGTCATTTCACTCCTACCATTATATTATGAAGAATTAATAACAAAAAATTTCCCGATAGAACTTATGTTTTTTATTAATATAACAACTTTAACAAACCCTAATTAAACTAACCTATTATTTTAAAATTCGGTATAATAGTACTTATAAACGTAATTTTTTCAGTAATTCACCAAATGTCTCGGCACTCGTTATTTGTAATACCTTTTATAATGTAGGTTAAATATGGCTAATTAGTGTGTCACGAAAATGGCCGAAAATCCGCAGGTGTGTCAACGGCTTTTAAGACTTCGAAACGCCTTTTTCGTCGAATAGTTTTTGCCACAATATTGTGTATGGAAAGGGCGCGAGGCACCACATAATTACGACTCTATAAATATTGTGCTCATGAAAATTCAAGTCGAGAAAAAGCTTACATTTCGCTATCAAAAGAAGCGAACGAAAGGCTGGTTGCAACTCGACGGCAAAAACTAATCTGTTAATTTCTTATACCTTAGGGTGTTGTCGACCGGACAAAGTTTTATAAGCAATGTTTATAATTTTCGTAGAATTTGTTATTGAAGCAATCCGATTCGATTATTTTGTGTTTTTCCATTGTTCTATTTTTCTGATCCATCGCTTTCTATGACGAAATAGTTTTATAAGCCTCACCTTTAGGTTACACCAGATTTGAGGTGTATATCGAAAATCCAACAAAATAATCAATATTTATATACTTACATCTATCGCGGGTAATAAAGTCCCAAGTTGACCCACACCTTAGCAATGAGACAATTGAATAAATCTTATTACTAAATGCGAATAAAAAATTTAACCCTTCCGCGACCACGGTGATTTGAAGGAACGGACAAGTCCGATCTAATCTCGGCAGCTGCTTGGCAGATGTTTCACAATTTTGACGGACAATCATACTGACAGACCCACATTTTATAACCACACAAAATTATACCCTATTACAAGTATAAAACGCGTTTATTTTAATATACTCTCAATTATGTTAACAATTCTTTGTGGGTGAAAAGCTTTACAAACGTGGGCCTTATTCAGATCAGTTAAGACTCTTTTGACCTTATCAATGGTAAGGTCAAAGACCTTTGATACAGATATTCCTATTGATGTTTACTTTTTTGACAGGTGTTGACAATTGATTTTTGACTTATTGATTAGTCTTCGTGATACAATTCTTTTAAATTACCTCATTTGTCACATATTCATGAATATCTTTATGTTCCAGCATGAAAGAAAAACCTGAATATTCATTATATAAAACTTAATTTTTAAAAGATAATGGAAAGTTTTATTAATGGCTCTAATACTTCCTTGAAGGGTTTAACTTTCAATTTCTTTACTAATTAATTAACGATCTAACCACATGTTTTGACTATATTTTTCACGCTTTCTCTAAGAATACGCATACATTAGTCAAGTTAACCCTTTGCCACCTGTGACTGTAAAAAAGCGTCAGTTGTCGGCTTTCCCGCTCTTTCTGACATTAAGGACCATAGAGATTTGTTTTATTTCTTTTTAATTGTCAATTTGAGTTGTGGGTGAGGATGTATTTTTTTGAGATCTACAATTTACCGAATCGGAAATAACATGTGTCATTCGAATTCATTTGTCATTAAAATAATTTCATTGCGCTTCTACATAATTTGATTTTGATTGATTTTATTGCAGTTAAAAAGATACTTTATCTTCAAATAAAATTAGTGGGTTTTTGAAAAAACAAACGGTAAAATTACGCTGCTATGTTTAAATTTGTTTCCTGTTTTTATTTATCTAAATAATATCTAACAATAAAGAGTGACGCAATTCGAAATATTTTTATTTTTTTATACGCAAATAATTGAAGAAGCAATATATGGTCTGTATTTTTTTGGGTCACATACAGCCTACAGGGTTCAAACGCACAACCTACCTTAAACTCTAAGCAAAATTTCACAATCTTTACGCTGTAAAATATCTGGAATATCTTTTCTAAGTAAACAATTTATTTAAAAATACAGTGAAATATTTAAAGCTATTTAACACAGCAATTCTTTAATTTTAAAGACTCATATTTTGTCTTAATGCAACTCTATAGCAGTAAAATGATCATGTACATATTGCGGCACCAGTCGTAAGTATTAAAAAACCTCGTGAGAACGCAAGCGTTTGTATTATTTGTCTGTTTTTATCCAACACCTGTAGCCGAGGGAGGCAGAAGGAAAAAACTTAATTAACAATAGCAACTACTAGCGTTCTCTACATCTGCGGTAATTATCATCGATAAAAACAAATATGTAGTATATATAAATAAATTGTCAGTCTTTTATTTTAGATAAAAATATTTAATCAAATGAAAAGATGTTAACCATAGTCAATAAGACACGCCTAAGAAAAATATTATTTCTAGATGAAGAAAATAATCGTTTGTTAATATTTTATTTTGCAACTTCTTTGTATTGTTCGATCATAAATTGTACCACCTTTACTTTGATATCAGATAATTCCGTTTCATTGAAGATCAGGCCTTTTATTATTCATTCCCAAGCAATAACTCTTTTTATGAAGACAACTGTCCACTCGCGACCCCAATTTTATGTTTTTTATTAGACCTCCATAGAGTCCTCTTTTTGTCTATAGACTCTTTGGTCATGTTTGATGTTCTCACGGAAGAGGTTGAATACAGATTGAATGGACGCAAAGAAAAAATACGGAAGGGTTGTCAGTATCAAAATTATTAGTTTGTTTTAACCGTAAGGTGCTCTGTGTGGGAATAAATGACCCCATATTTAACTTCCGGGAAGATGGTAAAATGTTCTTAATGAGAGGATGTGGACAGATAAAAAATTACTGGACCATGCATCTGTTGATATACTTATTGTGGCATTCTCTGTAAGTTAAAAGAAAACAATCATTATACAAAAACACAACTGGAATTTAAACAGGTTAAGTAATGAGTGACATTTTGATAAACTTATGAAAATAATTGATATAATTACAATTTAAAAGCTTTAATTTTGTCAGGATTTTTCACTAATGTATTATTTATTGTATTAAAGAGATTTTTAAAACTTCAGCGTATCAGAAGTTTTTTTCAAGTCGTTATGTCGTCGGGAAATAAATTTCAATACATACTAAGTTAAACCGTACAATGTACATTTAATGGGATACTTGGAGTACCGTCATAGTTTTTAGTAACAGTCATAGTGTTGTACAATTAATGTAGTAAACTCAATAACAAGATCCTACGTAAAACAAACCTACATATAATACCCAAAAAACGCACTTTCTTCTCACAACGCTTTTTATCCTTTAGAGGCCCTTTCATCTTTGACCACTTTCTTAAAAACAATCTTAACCATCTTCTCAACCTGTCTTATGCTGAAACGTAAAGTATTCTTATTGTACAACAGTTTAAGCATACAATTCTAAGTGTATCTAGAAATTATTATGTCAAGTAACGTAAATATGTCAAATGGCTATGACTTCCAGGCCACAGGAAAACCTACTGTGTGGGCTAGTGCACTTTTTTTTCTTCTCTTCTATATGTGGACTGTAAATTGTATTACGTGGAATGTAACTGAACTAAGTGTCGGTAAGTAAACATATTGGGAGCCAAGTGTCCGAAGGGTGCAACCCTTTGACTGACAGATGCCGCGTACGGTCTAGGGTTGAGATCGTAATAGATTTAGATATTTTAAAATAGAAACATGCAGCAAAACTTTTCACTAACATTTACTAGATGCGTACGTAGAAGTCGTGGATCTAATAATATAAGAAAACACGAACTGGGTTTGAAGACGAGAAAGACAATTGTATAAATGAGTGTGCTTTCAAAATCGGTGATTTTTTTTATAGAACAGGAGGCAAACCGGTCCCGAGTGCGTTATCGGCCTTTAAGGAATTGATTTTCCATTTAGATTATCAGTTTAAAACATTGTATAATAATAGATGCTTTAATTTGCAACATTTACAATTATCGAACTTAAGAGACATTTTATTAGTAATACTACTCATTTTTGTTAAAGTGAACTATTAATACGTATATATTTTTTTTAAACTTTAAGTCTTCCAAGTGACAACCCTATTCGCCTTCTGAGGGTGGTCAAAATTACCTCTCCCCGCATTTTTTCAATTAAAAAACGTGAGGTGCTAACGACGGTGCCCGAAGCTCTCGAAGGATAGCAATTAGACAATTTTTCATTTAATGGAAACATGTGTAAAGGGTCTAAATGGCGCTTCGGGGTATGTTTATGGCTTTTAGTGTCGTTTTGAGATAAGCGAACTTGAAAATACTCCATTATTCCATGTATAAAATTATTTGTGATAATTGTGGTGTATATTATTGATGTAATAATTAAAGAGTAGTCGAAATATATAATAGCCATATATTCGTTATGAGACTTGTACAAGTAAAAAGAAAATCATCGGTTGGCGTTAAATAAAATACCTTGGCAACCCTACGTTTTTGTGTGTCAGGGGAGCAAGTAAAAGAGTAGATTGAGTGACTTTTTGCTGACCCCTTTTAGGGTTACCATGTACTTGTGTAACTTTGTCTAGTAAAAACTCTTAGGATGTTTGGACAGTAACCAATTTTTCTTTAGAAACAATGTCTAAGGTATTAATTGTTTCTGTCAATCTTTTTTAAAAGTTTATGTTTATATCTTGCTTTGAATTAGGTCTATAATTACAACTTCAATATCAAAATTCAAAAACACATGTCCGTCAAACTAATTTCTTTATTATATTTGATTAACCCTTCGCTCTGTAATTACAAAACAGATGCAACACTGATTAATTATTACAAAAAGTGTTGCCACCTGCCGAATATCACTTTCGATCGCTAGGAAAAAATATAGGAGCCGGTGCTTTTTGTGGGTCAATTTGGTATGTAAATCGTCTAGTCATTCTGTGATTTCCGTTTTATAAGAAACAAAGGATTTTTTGTTAATGATAGCAGATGAGTATATCACTAGCCCTTTCTAACATCATAGTACTTATTACTGAGATAATTAAAAAAAAAGGGTCCGTGTACTTATGTACGCGCGTAAGAAGTTATACTTCTTTGGCAATATTAAAAATAGTTTGGCTTTGTTCCACCTCCAGTTTTTGATGTTTCACAGCGATAAGATGAAAACTCTTTTTTTGTATTCAATTTAGTGCAGTTACACTGATTCATCAATTGTTTTTTGTCTCTTTTCCTTATATTTGCTAGATAAAATCAGAAAAATTACATGTTTTGATTAAACAATGTGGTTAATTTTTTAATCAAAACATTACTCGATAATAATAATAATACATACGGATAGTTAACCTCAATTGTATTGAACCACTTAGGAAGGTTGATGAGCACAGTTTTTTCACAAATATTAATTAGTATTGGTTTAAATATTCAATTTAAATCACTTCTGATTATAATTCAAAAAGCATCGCTAAATTTCTTTGAAAAAATAATTAAAACTCCTTTATTTGTTTAAAAGGTAAATGACAAATGTCATTATGGTCATTCAAAATTGTTGGCATACGAACTTCACGCATATTATATTTCTTTTTACTTGTAGATTGTCTTATTCCTATCTCGCTCGCGCACGCTATAATCACACTCCTAATTTTGTGTCACGGGTGCGCGCGCATTGTAAAATTTCACTCTCATAAATTTTTCATAACGCGCCTAAAGAAGTATAACTTCAAAAACAAATCATGGGCGCTACAATATTTTTAGGTCTGCACCTCAGATATCTGTTTCATGATAATTGGTCATCAGTGTGATCAGCCTCCTGTGCCTGACACACGCCATCGACTTTTGGTCTTAGGTAAGCCGGTTTCCTCACGATGTTTTCCTTCATCGTTCGAGCGAATGTTAGATGCGCATATAGAACGAAAGTCCATTCGTGCAATTCTGGGGATCCTAGGGACCTAGGATCTCAGGGATGAGAGTCGCACGCTGAAGACTAGGCCAACACTGCTCTATTATTGCGATGACTAATATGTAATAATAATCCAGTAGGCTTACATCCCTTTAAAGCTTCGGTTTTAGGTCTTCTTTTTCATTGAAGACAAGTCGAGTTTTGGGTCTAAAACATGATAGTTTCCATACGAGGTTTTCCTAAATAGTTGGAAGTGTGGATTGCGCCTATTGCTAAATGAAACACACGACTTCAGGGTTCTGTATTTAAACCCTCGGCTTATACTGCTTATTTGACATTCTTTAGAAGTTCAGTCAGAAGAAAGCTCTGTCCTATAGAACGTTAACAAAGCTTTTGTTTATAACCTATAAATACTGGAGACACAATCTTTTATAAATTCTTATTCAAACCCTATTATTTTAAATCCGCGAACACAGCGTCTTCGCACGACAGTTAACCCTTCTTCTCACTCGTTAAACCTGTAAGTATTAATATTCATAAACCATATTACGCATATCAATCACCGCAAGTGTTAATCACCTAATCAGATGCATGCACACATCCGCTATCTTATTCTAAACGTCACCCGTTCACTGTCAGTGTCATTAGCGGTTTTTTTTCTCTTTCAATAACGTTTTTTTGTTTATCTGAGATATTATGAATGAGGTTTTATAGAAGCATAGACAAGGGGCGTTGGGTAAGCAGGAAGACGGGGCCTAATTACTTTCGTATTTGAATTAGCTGTATTTCACACGATGCAGATGTAATAAGATGCGGTAATGAGATGACGATAATGTTATTACACAATAAGAATAAGATCTACTTTTAAAAAGTCATTTGTCTTTGGGCAGGTGAAGACAAGTCTAAATACTAATTTACAACTAAATAGTCTCTATATTATCTAGTCTACACGAATGAATATGCTTACAACTTGGTACGAAGTATTTGTTGTGAGTAGGTATGTCAGACGTTGGAGTAGAAAACAAAAGCAAGTAGACACATAAAAAAAATAAATCCTTTTTTAATAAAGAATATTACCGATTCCAAAATGATCAAAAAATACTGTTTTCGTATTGAGCCTCGTATTTGTAAAATAATGAAATGTATAAAATGTTAATTAGTTTCTATTTATATAATAGCAACCCCCGCGAACATCATTTCGCTGTAATATGATTGGCAGCTATATTTACCAACGTAAGTTAATATTTAATAAAATCCCAGAGGCTCTTTTATTTTTGCCCTATCTTTGCTTTTATTAAAGATAAGCTGTGTAAAAATATTACTATAAAGGCTATTACTAGGCTTACTATAAAGTTAACGATTATCTAGTAGCTAGGGACTGGTAAATAATTTGCGATATTTGTTTTAAAATGTGGTTTGCCATAGTCATTTTGTATGATGATTTGCTATTTTAAGAGAGTACCGAGAGTTTTTTACGCCGGATTTTGTCTTGGCCTCTGTCTTCCTTGCCGATGACTAGGGATGTCTACCGATTCAAATTTAATGACGTGGAATAAGTGATACCCCTGTATCTTATGTTCCATAATAAACATATTTTATTTTATTTTTTATATTTTCATGGAACATTATGTTAAATTAAGTTTATTTAAATATCACAAAAAAACTAAAATGTTGACTATAGCTAATTTCAGGGTGTCGGTTTTTTGTGACGTTTTGCGCGTGCATCGTAAAAATTTACTGTCATAATTTTTCCCTAACGCGCCAAAAGAAGTATAACTTCAAAAATGTATTCTAATTGGTTCAGCCATCTTCGAGCTTTCCGCTTAGCAACATATTCTGCGATTAATTTTTATTTATATAGATTTAAGCTATTATGATCCATGAGCCCTATTATTTTGACGTTGGTGACCAGTTATATTTCGTTACACAATTTTTGTTCTTCCGAATGTTTACGAAGGCAAGTTTTATGTAGTGAGATTGGTGACAAACATGGACATGCAAAAATTACACGTCATATTGATAACCTCCTATCAAAAGTCAATCGAAAGGTCAAGCTTCGTAAATAATGTAAATTCGCAACCGTTAAAGAAGTTTTATTTAAACATACCTAAATTAGAAGCTTATTGTATGGTACTATTATGTATTGTAAGAATTCAAATAAATATATGTATCGAATGAAATAAATAATTGTATTTCAGCGAGAACCACTCACTCACATTGAAGCCTAGTTAATCAAATATGAAATAACAATAAATACAATCCGTTAAAAAGCTTTTTTGAGGAATAAAATGTCAATTTCCGTTTATAAATTATTTTCTGTATGTTTAAATGCTTAGTTGACAATGTGATAAAGCTTTTATTAACTTAAAAAATACCATTTATTTTTAAACAATTGAATATTAAATTGTTAACAAATGAAGGAGTACAACACCGACTGGATCTTTAGAATCGAACGTAATTTTTCGAAGTATGAAAATTTAGGTAGTTAATTCGGATTTGAATACTTAGAGGGATTATCATAAGTATGGTTAAGCTAAGTAACTAGGAACTTAGGGTTACATTTAAATATAGTAAACCATCAATGTCGCTTCAATATGCATTGTAATATTTTTAATTTGGTCAAATGTAAAACTTGTTTACATTATACGCGTAATTTATTATTTTAATCTGTTATTAGGCTTTGTTTCTCATTACCTACATACAATTCTTATCTTCCAAGTCATCGTAGTGCCATCAGCTGCTATAATTTATAACCAGAGTAATAAAAATATTATGAGTTTTAAAACATAGAAAAAACTTTATTTCCATACAAGAAACATCTTGAAGATAATCAAATGTTTTTGCCAACAAAAAATCTAAGACACCGTGAGACGTGCATAAAATTAACTTTTTTATTTTAAATTAATACAAAACCAAACTCGGAAGGACTACGTGAACAATTTTATAAGTTAAAATAAAAAAAAAGACAATGGAGTTGCCATGTGGTCGCTTCACACCCCTTCATCTAGTTAAAATATAATTTGCATAGTAGATGCTAGTGGCGATTTTTTTTGCAAAAAGATTATGCAAATGTGTTTTTTGGACATCGCGGCGTAGTGAGAACTCTTTTTTTGTGTCTGTGAACACTTTCTTTTAGTGAAGCAAAAAAGTCAAGATTTTTTTAAAGCATTTTTTGTTTGTGAGATATTTTTAGGTTCACATACTTATATGGTTGCATATGACTTGTATTTTAATGTAATGTTATAGAATTAATGATAGTTGTTATTCTAATTAGTCGCTTCTTTTCAAATTGTTATTTTGAAAATATTTTTTTTAATAATAAATAATAAAAACTTTATTAATGACAAAAAGGTTGTGACAAAATTCATCTATGCTAGATAGAATTTGAATACTTAGTTTTTAGTGGATTTTTAACGTGTACATTTAATAGGTACCTATTTGAATTATCTATAATTAATCTGTGTGCTATACATATTTATCTAGAACTATTGTTCTGAACCTAGTTTATACTATATAATTAGAACACATAATATAGTTAACACAAACGTATAAAAACTTAACCACTAAATCGAAATTATATATTTACACCAAGTATATATTTTTTGTATAATTTTTTTACCTGCCTCGACACACCCCACATTTTTTCATACGACAAAAACCAATAGTGTTCGAGGGTTATTCATTTGGGGTGGCAACATTTTTTGTCGCTTGTCTATGATCAATATTTTTCCATCGCATTGGCGGGAAGCAAACCCGTTTCAACAAAAGGGATCTTATATATTCTTATTCATCTATTTTTTCGTTTAACGGTTGGAGCGATTCTTTTCGGTTATTACGAGGGTTGGTACAAAGGGTTGTTTTTTGTTGCACGCGATTTGAGCCAGAACGAAAATTATTATTTGCACGCATACGTCTGGGCATAGTCGGCTTATCGATTTTAATATAGCTGTCAATTTACAAGATGTTTAAGTAAATTAGGATGTAAAAATTCTGCGGCTACATTTAGCAACCACCATTTGATTCATAGACATATAATCATAAATTTGTAATAATCGACAAATCTCGCACTTCTGTTCAAAAATAGTTTAGAACATTTTAGAAGTTATAGAAATAATATTAATTATTTTTTTAAGTCGACAGTTTTTTAATTGTATAATTAAAAACCCCAATCTAATTCCAAAATTAAACATAGTTTTTTTTATTAAATCTTTCCTTGTTTTGTGTAACTAGTTTCCGTTCCTTTAATACTAATTATTTTTGGCGTTCTATTTATTATCAATAATAACTAAAAAGTAACACATGTGTCACAATTGACTAATTATTTAATTAATAAAAGGATATAGAATCAATCTTATTATTGTATAACAACTGACAACATTTGTTTTTTATATTATGGTATTTTTTTTACAACATTTGTTTCTCTTTTCCAGTGGTTGTGACATCAGCTCCATCTAACGAAGCAGAGTTGCAGTTGTATCGGGTGATGCAACGAGCAAGTCTCCTTGCATACTATGACACCTTATTGGAGATGGGTTAGTATCTGTGAAATATATTTATGGTAAAGCTCAAATATACACGCTGGAATTGCAAACTTATTTATTTCTTGTAATTGAATTCACAAAATACCTACATTATTCTTACAGTACTAAGCCAATACGATAATGGCGAAATTAAAAATAAAATATATATATAATATTAAATACAAAAGATAAAGACTATCGCTACTTAGTCAGATACAAAGATGTTGATAGTGTCGGGACTTTTTCATTTCATATCTCAATCAGCATAAAATCAGCACACTTCTTAAGAATTTTTATGAAATATTATTGTTTTAAGTTCATTTCTTCCTTAATAAGGCAATTTCATGAGGTTAATAACGACATGGCATTATATTACATATGCATACCTATTACATATACATACATATTTAAAATTTAAAAACTAGTATAATACAATAATTTATTAGGAACTTATATATTCTAATAAATCTATTTATTTAATTTATTAAGATTCAGCTTAAATCTGGGGATATATCGCAATTTTTCTTAATAATATGTTTATAAAGATAATTTCGCTACCTACTTCTAGACTAAATTAAAGTTATGTGTGAATCACGCGAAAATAAAACACAAGCGTAGGAACATCGAAAAAAATTGCTTCTCATCATCTTCGAAGAAAGAAATCAAAAAATATAATTCCATACAAAAAACTGCGCAGGCAACTCATGCAAATTTATTTTTTCCTTTCTATAATGCTGGCAATTACTGATTTAAGGAAGGGTTCGGCCGGCGGTCCTGCGTCTTTTGTTTTTTTTATTCGAAAAATGGTCACGTAAGAATTAGCATATTTATCCAAATTAAAATAGTGTTTTTACAATACCGACGAAACGAACTTGCAGCGTTACATATTTTGCATATTAATGTCGTTAAGGAGATTAGAAAAACTTAAGATTGGGGATGACCTTTTATCTCTTGAATTGAATGTATTTTTTATTGTGCTAGTTCTCACATGTGTTAATTTTTTGTAGCTTCATAAGAAAAATTAAGAACAATAACCATGTTTGGATTAGACATTGCAACAATATTTTAATATTATAATATTAAATATTATCTATTGTACATAATTGTAGTTCAAACATTAAATCTAAATATTTATATATTTAGAGTTTTAATACAGATTCTTGTACGGCTACAATTATGTACATTATTTAAATCACTTGACGCATTGAGTCGTTGGGAAGTCTTTGTATGAAATATGGGTACGCGAATAAATCCAAGACTGTAAGTCCCAAAATAATTAAATTATTCTTTCGCTTACAAAAAGGTATTATATTTCAGGTGGAGATGACGTACAGCAACTCTGCGACGCTGGTGAGGAAGAATTCCTCGAAATCATGGCGCTGGTTGGAATGGCCTCAAAACCGCTTCACGTTAGACGCCTACAAAAAGCCCTCCAAGAATGGGTGAACAACCCTGCCCTCTTCCAAATACCAATCGTTCCAAATATTTGTCCCACCGAAAATCCTTTTATCCAATGCAACCAAAGACTACTAAATATACCATCTATGCCAAATCTACCCCGCACTGTGGCCTCACCAGATAACAACAGGCCAATGTATAGTCCGTCCCCTGGTGCCCCCGAAAACAGCTGTGGTTCCACCGCTTCAGCCCCAAACGCAAGTCCTGTTCACAGCCAAACCAATACATTTACCAAAATCGTCCTTCCTTCCTCTCCAGTAGCCCCTAACACGAGATCCTTCTCTCCCCAAAGCAATCCTCCAGCTTCCAGCTCCAGTCCAGGATCTGGAACTTCACCCCTTTTAACACCAGTTCTTCTAGATGTTCATGTACATAAATTGGCAACCGCCGCAGACAAACTGAGCAAGCATTTGCCACAGTTGGAACCAAAGCCGCAGAATACTAAAAAGAAAATGTGTAAAGATCTGGAGCTGGTTATGATGATGCCAGAGTCAGATCCAAGGAGGATGGAGGAGATACGAAAGTATGCGGCGATATATGGCCGATTCGATTGTAAGAGGAAGCCGGAGAAACCGTTGACATTACACGAGGTAATTATCAATTAAATAATTTATAATAGTTTAAGTTAAGTTTCATGACATTTAAATATTATGACATTTGATAGAGCTAATATATTATCGTGTCTTAGTTTGTTGCTTAAAGTGATAACCAGAAGTTTATGATTTCTATTCCCATGACAAAACAAAAGGTGATGTTTCTAAGACAAATTTTTTTTTAAATTACAGATGTAGATAATAGTCAACCTCACTTAGATTAATTGTAGCATTATGGTTTGAGTTCGACATTTAAAAATGTTTGTTTCATTGAAGCCTCTATTGATTCTAATGGCATCTCCTAGGTAATGGTAAACGAAGCGGCTGCTCAAATGTGCCGATGTGTTCCTGCCTTGCTCACGCGCAGAGATGAGCTGTTCCCACTAGCAAGACAGCTTGTCAGAAGGGCTGGATTGCACTATTCAAAGCATGGGTAAATGTTTTTTTAATAATACATTTTTTTTGGGTCCGTATTATTTTTTATACAGTAATTTATGTTTGAATTTCTAAATTATCAATATTTCAAAAATTTACTATTTTCTTCCAATGTTAAATCATTTTTTTCTATAAAAAATCATGATCTAATTAAGAAAAACATTCTTATTCGATTATTACGTAATAAATCTGCAAAATTTAACCATTGTTTATTAAACGCAATCAATCTTTTGTCTTTGTCACTCTCATGTCAAATCTTGATAAGACAAGACAAAATAATGTTAGTAATGTTCACTACAGTTTTATTATTAGTGATAACTGACATTGAGCGGGTACCGCGTCACAGTTAACATTACCTCCGTAAATTTATTTAAATTAAAAATAGAACTAGTGTGTAAAAGAGGTTAAAACACGGGAACTATGACATTTTAAGCAACAGTTTTCACGTAATAAGTTGTGAACAATCAATATAGTGTATTAAACAGTGATTCGTTAGTCGTATCGAACAATTTGTTATCCGCCATACCGCGATGGACATTTCCGTTTGGTTGTGGTTAAACATCAGAGTAATTGTTGCAAAAACTGACATAAAATAGTGAAGTGACTTTTAAAAGTGTCTTGTGCTAATCAAGCACTTTAAAATAAAACCTAAACACTGTTTTGGACAAATCGTAATTGTATTATATACGATTTATTCGCAAGTCAAGTAATGAATTGGTTAGCACTTGTAACAAGTTGTTAGGAACACCATACACATTCGTTTGTGGATCAAATCCTGGCGCACATACCTACGAAACGAATATTTTTTTTTTTTTTTTTTAATTTTATAATATTCCAAGATGGATTGTGGTAAATGCCTAAAAATGCCTCTGATACTGAATTGATTAAATGCACATCTTCTCACGGTGTTGCATTTTTCTGCGGATCTATCTGAAGCTGATTTTAAAAAAATTCTACCGATAATAGGAAAAAGTGGAAGTGTGGGAGAGCAAAGATCTACTTATCGTTCGGAAAACAAGTTTAGCATCATATTAAACGTCGATACTGAAATGCTGACAAAATATATGGATACTAAACTCGCAGATCTGAGGCAGCAATGGCGGGACGACCTCAACGTGCAATTTTCGAAGTGACGCGGAAATTTAGGATGAATAATCTCTTGAAGCTCGTATGAGTACCTGGGAGGGCAGACTGTCGCAAGTGGAAGATCAAACGGCTAACAATGAATCTTTGCCAAACAATTTTATCGACAAGCATCTTTCTAATGAAAATCTGATCAATGAGGTTCGAGATCGCAATCAAAGGGAGAAAAACCTCATTATTGCAGGTATACTGAACAATAGCGATCAACGAGAGGAAGGACCGTTAAAGGATGAAGATAAGATAATACAACTGATTTCCACCATAAACCCCAGTCTACCAAAACCCCTTAAGGTCTTTCGTATAGGAAAATTTAATCCAGGCAAAAACCGTAGAATCAAATTTGTTACGAAACAAATACTACGGCTAAATACTTATTACGTAACAAGTCTAAATTTCCAGAAGCCATTAAAATTTATTCAGACTTAACTCCACTCAGCAAAAATATTTGCAAAATTTAAAAAATGAACTAGTGCGACGTCAGGCTGCGGGAGATACTGACATCACTATTAAATACAGATCTGGAATACCCACTATTACCAAAATGTCTCCAAAAACTCGAAGTAACAAATACAACCAAACGCCTCAACACAGATACAAATACCTATGAAGTTTTGCAAAACCATAATCAGCTACAACCACACAAGTCACGCTTATCGTTTTATACCTTAATGCTAGGAGTATCCGAGCAAAAGGCAAATTTAATGAACTCAAATGCATTTTAAAAACAATTTCTAAAACTGTTCATATCGTACTCATTACAGAAACATGGATCATAATGAAACTCAGGCCCAAGAGATGAGTCTACCAAACTATACTCATTATTTCAATTATAGATCGGATTTTAGAGGTGTGGAGTCTCAACTTATGTCCATAACAGTATTAGACATAGTTTGTCGGAGTCAACATATAGATGGCAACAACTACCTATGGGTCAAATTAGACAGATATGCCACGAAATTGACTTGTGTATAATCCTGGAGATACAAACTTCTCAAAGTTTTTGGAAGAACTTCGCTTGCAACTAAGAGAAAGAAAGAGGGCTTAGTCTTTGGGGATTTTAATATAGATCTAGTGAAAAAGAATGAAAAACAAACTAAGCGGTTATGGATTAAGACAGGCTGGATATAACATCATAAATAAAATTAGGAAAAATATTGTACAGTACTCGAAAACAGTAAATCAATAATCGACCACGTGTGCTCAAATTTAAGAAGTGACCGTTTTCATATGGCATTTATTGAGACAGGAATGTCCGACCATAGGCAACTTTATATCGAGTTAAAAATCCAAGGCCCCGCAGTTAATATACTCTGAATATGAAGCCATTGACTATGCTAAATTTAACAAACTATTTACGACCTACAATTTAGATGTAGCAACACTTGATTATTCTTTACTAGAAGATACGATTAAGGACTGTGTAAGGAAATGCAAACAAGTAAAGAAAAGAACTTAATCCACCTCAGAAAGATTGATAAGTGGAGAAGTATTAGTGCAATTCACTTTAGAAACCAATTATGGGCTGAACTGAAAAAGATCCTACAAATATATTGTTCAAGCACAATATACTACTAAAGAGATACGGTCAAAAGGAAAATAAGGGAAACTAAAGATAATTACTTCTCCAAGAATTTATTAAACACGCTAAAAACCCTAAAATGTGGAGTCTAATAAATAAATTGGCTAGTAACAAGCTAAATAAAGATTGCACACCTTCCAAACTTATTAAGACACTAAAGAGTTAACTCAAACAACCGATATTTGTGCTGCTTTTTAATACATACTTTTCTACCATAGGGCTAAAACTAGCCAATGAAATACCAACACAATTTCACATTAATTTTACACTAGACTTCCTCAAAGTCTTAACTCTGAACTATCTAACTTTAATCCATGCACAACACTTGAAATCACTAATATAATAAAAACACTAAACACGAATTGTAGTAGTGGAATAGATGGATCAATACTAAAACAATAAAATGCGTAGTTGATCATATTTCTGAATATCTCTCGTCTGTTTAATAAGCTGCGATAATGGTGAATTTCCGGATTCTCTTAAAAGGCAGAGTTGCTCTATCCATAAATCTGGCCCCAAAACCGAACCCGGCAATTACAGACCAATATCTATTCTACCTACAATATCAAAATATTAGAAAAGATTATTTACTCACGACTTGACACTTACTTGCAAACTAACAATTTCATTTTTAAACGCCAATATGGTTTTAGATCAAAAGCAGCATTTATCAGCCACAACCGATCTCGTTAGCGACATAAAACAAAATATTGACTCTAAGAAATGGTGCTGGGTTTATTGACTGAAAAAGCGTTTGACACCGTAAGCCACAACTTATTGCTTAAAAATAGAATGCATAGGAATAAAAGATCGGCACTAAAATTATTCAAGTCATATCTATCAAACAGAACCCAGATAGTAAAAATAGGTAATGCTCAAAGTTCAGAAATACCAATAACATGCGGCGTCCCACAAGGATCTATATTAGGTCCATTGTTATTTTTAATATATATTAACAACATTCACGAACTCAGTTTACACGGCCGAATCACTCTCTATGCTGATGACACCTGCTTATTTTACTTTGGTTCAAATATAGACTATGGTTGCTCAAGCTCAATCAGACCTAAATGTTCTATCTTCTTGGTTTCAACAAAATCTACTAACAATTAATATTTCAAAAACATCTTATGTAATATTCAAGGCAACAAATAAACTCATTCCTATCTTTCAACCGCTAAAGTTCAAGACGTTGAAATCAATAACAAAAAAATGGGAGAAATATCTGGGTCTTAGAATGGATACAAATTTAAAATGGAACTTTCATATATCACACATAATTACCAAACTAAAATCACTTATAGGCAGATTTTGGTCAATATCTAAATATTCCGCAATGTACTCATTTGATCTATAATTGTTTAGTCAAGCCACATTTCATATACCTAATTGAAATATGGGGTACAGCATGCAAAAACAAAATTTCTACAATACAAACACTACAAAAATAAATTAATAAAAGCACTATTCAGATACAATTTTTTAACACCTACTAATAAAATCTACAAGAAACTAAAATTATGACGATTAAACAACTATATGTTTATAGACGTATCCTTATTAAAAAAATTTAAATAACTCTCTACATAGTACTTATCATTTAATAAAATCAAATACATTCCACTACACGCAATACTCGTCGAGCGAGTTTGCTTTATCTTGCCAAAGCCGCGCACAAATTATTTAAAGAGATCTATTAGGTATGAGGGTGTGCAATTGTTTAATCGGTTGCCGCTAAGCTTCGTAACATAGTGATTGATCAGTTCAAAAGGGCATTAAAGACACACATCAGAATGGGCCCATTAGACTAGAATTGGGCTAGTGATGGCGACGTGTACTCGTTGTAATATATTAATATTAATTTCTCATGTAATAAATTTTTTGTAATGATAAATAAAGTTCTTTAAACATTAAACATTATAACTGATAAGTTTTATCAAAATTAATGAAAGTGAATTAAATTTAATATTCTCTTACAGCCTTCCGCCCACTCCAGCAGAAGATAGAGAAAGAGATGAAGAGGAGACTCCGAGCAAACGGCCGCGACAGGTCTCTCACGTCGACCTCACTGCGCACGACTAACACGGCTTTGTAGCTCTAGTCTAACATTTTAAAACTCCAACTAATACAGCTTGGCAATCTCTATTTTTCTTTCTTAGATTTTTCTAGAATAGTGCCGATTATGACAATAATTACTTACTTTATTTTAGCTTAATTTTCGTGAGACGGATGCGGAAATGTGTCTGACCCATGCTTCTACGAGTTTCTATTTTTAAAAAGATTCTATTAACATAGACAAAACGAAAAAAAATGCCCATAGCGAAGAATCAACTTGGCGCCTTTTTAGCAGATATTTTTTCATTTGACATAAATCGAATTTGAATTTTTTTAAGTTCAAATAATATTTTCTATTTACCATCCGTTATTAATTACGATAAAAATCTCGGTTCTAAGTAAACGTTTGCTGCATCTATTCCTTATTTCTAACTAAGAAACGCCCTACAATTCAAGTGTTCATATAATGTTTGATAATTGAATGTTTTATTCGAGTAAATAAAAAAAGAATTCTTAGAACAAACAATATAAACCGGAACAAAAGGGTTATTAGATCCAACATTGATACATTTTATCTTCAATATTTTTTTTCGTAATGCATTAACCGTTGGTAAGCATGAGTTATATCGTTATCGCCTCGATTCACGTCACGTTTACTTTTAATTTTGCAACTAATCCGGTACTGGTTATTAGCTGGTAAGTAGAAAACTCATTTGCTTCTAATTAATTTTCGCAAGCTTTTCATAATAGAACTTTTTCTGATCTAAATTTAATCTAAACCTAACCTCACTATTTTGTAAAAACATTTCTATTTTTCGTCTTCATTTGCTTATAGTACTTAGAAAACAGCCCTTTTATTTTAGACACACATTTTTATCAATTCTTGCCTTAGCACGAACTTCACGACAATGCCTATAGTTTCATATCATCAATACAATAACTTAAGTAGTTTACTATTACGATAGCTATTCTATATTTCGTATCCTTCGTGCTTAGGCTTTATAGACGAACTAAATTAAAATTAGTCAAATTTAATACAAAGAAATTATTAGACACTCTTTAACAAAATCTCGAAATCATCTGAGCCTATATGTACTAATTTACCAATTTTACATTACCGCACGCTTGGATACGTTAGATTTTTAGAATTATCAAGTCTAATTCTAGAAATGGGAATAATCGCCAGTTACATGGTCACGTGACCGACCAATGGATCCAGCGCATTGCAATGATCACGTGTCTAACCGTGCGGTATTGCCATTTTTATACTATTGTATTTTGTACGATACCATCTAAAGCGTTGACAAAGTACATTGTTTTGTGCCACCGCTACAAAATCCTATGGGTTTCATTCAGAATCGATGCTAAGAATGACTTCCGTATGTCAAATCCAATACGTTTTTGATTTACGAGTGTCATACTTAGCGCCAAGTAAATCCCATTGGCACGCTGGACGGTAGACGCTCTCGCTGTAAATTAAGTATTACTTAAAGTCCTTTACGAAAATAGAGTACAAATTCTAAAAATGCCAGCAAGGCACTATCGAGCCTTCTAGTAGTATCAATGGGCGGCGGTATCACTTTGGTATTCGTTCTTACAAAACTAATAAATATTTAAATACAGGAAGGCGAAGATGGTGTCCGAGCCAGTCCAGACGCAAGAAATTCCAACCATACGTTAGTATATTAATTACTACTTTTTATATCCATTTATTCCTTTTTCCATGATATATTCTTTATTTTTAACTTAAAAAAATTCCAGCTGGTGGGGCATGAAGACCGAGAGTGACGACGCTGACTCTAGGTGTTCATATTCCAGTACCAGTACTCCACCACCTGTAAGTATTTTTGTACATTTATTTATATTTATTATATTATAAAAAGAAAAATCAATAGGAGCGTGTTATATAAATTGATTTCAATATAAAATGAAAACGCATTTATCAGATTCAAAACTCAATCATACGAAACATCGAATGTGCTATGTATTTGCAAACGTGAAATTGGATATAAAATTAAATTCTAAATTTCTATCTGAGAATCTTTAACCTCCAATAGCAAGCGATACAGATGTTTTTGTATGCAAATTCGATGTCGTTCTCTCAATATACGTAATGCTGATGTCGAAAGCTGATCGCGCAGAACAAAAACTCATTATTGAAATCGCTATTGGCCGTTCCGAGTTCCGGTATTAATTTAGTTGAAATAATGTAGTACACGTGAACAATTAAGAGGAGCGCGTATGCAATCTGTTATTCTTCTTTTTGCAGGAAACGGAAGAATCCCGTCCTCAAGTAGTAGCAGCTCGTGGTGATAGCATCATAGCAGTTGCCAATCCAGCTTTACAACCACTTCCACCACCACATCCAGCGAGAAATCATTCCAACTGACTGCCAGAAGGCGTGTAGCCGAAAACTTCTCACAGCCCGCACTCATTACATTATTTATATTGCATAATTATGTAATTAGTAATTCAATGAAGAGACGACTAATTACAATATGATGTAATTTTTTTATTATCCTTCTAACAAAAAAATTACATCTAGCATCCAGCGTTAAGTTTTTGCTTTAGTTTTCTGCGCTGAGCAGTAGATTCGGAGTACAAATACAACATTTTCTTTTAGAAAAGTGTTTATCAAAGAAAATTGAAACTTATGTGAACCTTTACAATGTAATTTCTATAAAACTAAAAATGAATTGACGAAATTGATGACGCGAACTACCGAATGACGTTCCAAATTGAATCAACTTTTGAGCTCGTTATTGTTAGGAAAGTGAAAAAATAAAAAAACGAGCAGGTTTTAAAAAAAATGATAAGTCAATGAATGAGACAGAAGATGGATAGTGAATTGTCTATATATTTAATTCGCGTCAACCCTCACCACGTCTCTTGGACGAACGCCATCACCACCCACCAGCATCGTCCGTATCGCCAAATTACCCCTTTGTCGTTTGACTCGAGCTTATTCAAGAAGAAATATTACTAAATGAAAATCGATTTAAATGTGTGCCTCTATGGATATCCAGACCTAATTCCTTTATCAGACTGCTCAATCTGGGCATCGGTGAGCTTTGACCAAAATGCGTCCTTCGGAAAGGAAGGACAAATGGAATGAATTATGAACTTAACAAGTCTCTTATTGAGAAACGTACTACGATTTAATGTTTTATGCTGATCACCTTCTTCTCTTAAAATAAATAAGCGATATAAAAATAAAAATATATTTTGTATCGCTATCTAAGTCAGTTATAGTACGCTTCAAAATTCTAGGACAATTTTTAGTTTTGCAGATAGCCATGAGTGGCACTTCACCATTTTTCTCACAACTTCGTCACCATCGTTCCATACTTTGTCAAACTTATGGTAGAGATGCCATGTTACGAACGTAAATCTTTTTATTTAATGTAAACCACCTCTTCTCGGAAAGCGACGATGACGTCACGTCTCGTGTCTGTGATTGGGCTAGAGTGCTGTTGACCAATCGCAATCAAACGAACTATCGTAGGGTCTTTCGTTTCAAATACTCACTGTATTTGAAACAAAAGACGCTCCCGATACTTGCCTAAAAGAATTGTCTCTCATCCTTAACTTTAGATTTCTATTCAAAATAGAACTAGTAATTTAAACGAACCGTACAATTTGTATTATTACATTATAGCTTGAAGATGAAAAAGCCGGGCGCGTCCGTTTAAGCAAATTATTTGGTTAAGTTTCTACTTAATTATACGAAGCGCTGTAGAAGTAACGAATAACTATTTTATCAATAAGGTGATTGTAAAATATTCTGTAAATAAATATATTTAATTTTAAGAAAGCCATAGTATGCCTTTTAGTCATAAATTAAGTTATATATGTACATTTTAGAAATAAAAACTTGTATATAATTTGAATTATTCGTTTCAATCAGCCCTAACACATTTAAAGCATTTATTTATATCCTAATTTTCTTACAGTAAATTAATACTAAAACAAACGAAAACTTATTAATACAAAATTTAAAATAAGAACATAATATACTGGGTGGCGCAAAAGTACTGGCACTAAAGAAAATTTGTTTATTTTTTTATATGACGATAGTTCATTCTGTTGTTGAAAATTGTGTAGTGAACAAATGTAAAATACACTGAAAATAAACATGGACCGTTTTACTCCCCAAGAACGTGGAATAATCGTGTCAATGTTATTACGGAATAATTGGTCAGTGATAAAAACACACGACGACGATTGCGCAAGACGAGCGTAAATAGTGCTTCTCTACTTAAATTTGTATGCGCTTGCGGCACTGTTAGGAATTGCAACCATGCCGAGTGCGATTATTTGGCACTTTCAGCCCCAGTCTCTCCAACATTTCCGCATTATATACCCCCGAGGCCCTTAAAAAAATAAAGTATGATAGAAGTAATTACCTCGAACTCAATATTTCTCAACGTGAATTTCAGCTTGTCATCATAAGTTTTAAAACTTTTCTTACTGTGTTTCGTTAACAATTTCATAATAATATCTTCCTAAAACCTATTACTTAAGTTTTTAAGTGAAAAAATTAATTTTTATTAAAATAATATAAGTTACATAAGAGTTTAGAAAGACTAAGAGGGTGAGAGGCAGTGCTCTTACTTCGTGTATCCTACCATACCATTACCAAACATAATGTAAACCTTAATGGGTCGACATTATTCAGTAGGTATCAATAATTCATTTGTTGATTGAAGGAAATACTGAATGGATGCATTTTCATGCAGTAGTAACTATGTTGAATTTTAAATTAATATACATACATATGAACGCACTAAAAGTACTAATATTAATTTCCCGATACACCATGTCATACGGCTTTCTCAGCTTGTCACACCGACCTTATAGATCAGAATAATTTATGACTCAATATGAATTAGTAATACTAGGCTCTAACACCTTGAGTTGACATAAAAACTGTCTCCGGGTAATGTGTCATTAATAATTTATTTAGTAGGATATAGGTGTAAGTCAGTGTAAAATAATTCATATATAACATTTCCGGCTTAGTCCTGGGGACCTGCAGTCCCGGCCTAACAATCAATGTAATAGGTGTTCTGATAAATGAATCAATAGAGATATGTTAGCCTAGCGGCACAGCGTGCATGACGGATTTTTTTCTACGAACGCAATTACGACATTGCAACAAACATTACGAGAAGACAAAATCGATGTTATAGGCTAATAGCGATGACAGCCTTTGAATATGATATAGTATTTGCCATTCCTATAGTAATAGAGTTCTTTAATATGTACTCTATAATCTCGGGAACGTGAAGGAATTGACGAATAATCTCCGAAGGCTTTGACGTAGTGAAACTTACGTAATAATATTTTTCACCCATAACTAATCTTGTTTTCACAATTTGTAACAGTTTAATGAGTTAATTATTTTTAGAATACAGATAATAATAGTTGTTATTTCGAAATGTCTGTCTTTCAGAAAAAAAGTTAAAGAGTTTGAATTAGAATTTAAATCAATGTAAAAATAGAAATGCATTTAAATATGTAATGACTAAGTCATGACTATGTCTAATAGATTAAAAAACAGTCAAAGCTAGTTAAAAAAACAACTATTCAAAAACCCGTAAGTAAAATTATAACCGAAAATTGATGAATATAACTCACCTCTCACCAACTCACCTTTTAAATGACATAAAAACCTAATGAAAAATGCAGATAAAACAAAAAATAAAACAAAACTTCATTACATCAAAATATGGCAGAACATAAATATTTAAGCGTTTGTGATATTTATAGAGCTTTGACGATTTTAATATTACGTAACATTAAATAAGTTTTGAATTCTCGTTAAATTTCATCAAACTTCCAGAATATATCAATGGTCACATGCGTAATGTCATTAAAATGCATTCTCAGTTTACGCAACCACGGTCATCTTGGTCACTTCGCAGAAATTACCGGGAAATAAAACGAAATATCTACTGATTATTAATTGAATGGCATTGAGTTCTATTCGTATGAATATGTGTATTATCTGGGTTTTACCCCAGCGGAAGGAAGTTTTAATTTTAGTGTTTTTTAGTTTAAAGATTGAATTTTTATAATTGTTTCCAGGATTTTAAAAGTACCGAGGTCATTGTCCATTGGATCAATCTAAGGTTACATTTTAAAATATTTTGACACACAGCCCTGCGATTCTGTAACTCACTTTTCGAACTCACACAGTGGTTTGAAAAGGTGGGAGCTTGTATTGCTGTATTGTTTATCAGAATGCCAAATCATGAAATGACTGCTTCACGACTGATTTGAGAGCGACCGCCGATGCGAAAACCGCTGTGTGAGTTCGAAAAGTGAGTTACAGAATCGCAGGGCAGGAGTCATAGATCGTGCTAAGTCGCGACTAAACCTCATCCTAATCACCTACTACTAATTACGCAAAATAAGATACCTTAAATAAAAACTTCTAGACGGCTCTTCTAGTATAGTAAACTGCCTCAGTACGCTGGTGGCTCCGTAAGAGCTTGGCCACAGTTTCTGGCGGTGTGCGGCGCGGCAAGAGGGTCTGCGAGAGGCGCGGTTTGCGGTGGTATGCCACAGCTCGACCAGTTGCGACCGCGGCGCCATCAGCGGTGGACGTATTTAGAGTATATTAGTTAGTTTTATTAGTTTTATTTCGTCCCACAATTTTTTTTATAACATGCCTATATTTATGATGTGGATGTTTTGACATCCATATTGCTGGTCTACTCAGTATTTCACTAATAAATTGTTTTGTATCCATTATTTTATATGAGCTCAATGCGCGATAAAAACAAAATTATTTGTTTTGGTCGCGCGATGCTAAATGCGTCCACCACTGCCGCGGCGCGCGCCGCTCTTAGCTGTGGCCGCCTCGATACTCCCGAGTGATTTGATTCACTCGAGCCGCGCAGACCCCGCCGCCGCCACCGCGCGGGTGCCACGGCGAGGTCGCACCGCAATGGCGTCGCCGATAGCTGTGGCATACTTCATACAATTTTCTCAATTTGTTTTGCGCTCGCCGCATCCGCGCGCAGGTGACTGTGGCTCCGTAACGTCTAATCACTATAGCGATAGGGATCTGACGTCTTTATAGCCAATTCCGATATACATAGTTCTTTCAATATCCGCTGATATCAAAACCCGTCCGCTAGTCGAATTGCTTTCTGTCGAAGATGGTATAATCAGAACTACAGAACCAATATGCTCCGAATAGTTGCTAGAAGAATGAAACAGCCACAGAAATGTGTTTGCACACACTCCATGTGGGAGACTTACGTGACTTTCAATGTCATATTTAGAGTATCTAAATATCTTTTTTCTTAGTCTACGTTCCTCATACATCTTATAATATTTTTAAATATTATATATTATATCTATCTAAAATATATACATTCCGACGTATTTAGATATTTTTGATAGCTTTGAATTCGAACTCACCTTCACCCCGTTTTATCACAATTGATGAAATTCATACATGTATTTAATAATTTTAGAAAGTTTAGTAGATAAAATCTGTATTTTCATTGAAACCGCGGATATAATCAAACGCATATTACATATTTTTTGTGGATATTTCAATTTAGTTTGCCTCTTGGATTCTTCGTATTCGGTCAATAAGTTTACCCTATAATGACAATTGACGGTAAAACTATTTGCAAACTAATACAGTCATTTCCAGTTTTGCTAATACTAGCTCAAAAACACGAAAAATGTCTAAAAACCCCTTTCATATACAAACCTCCAACTCCCACGCACGCTCCAGAATACTATGAAGCATATGATGCTTTGATCCAGAATCTTTTCGGTCATGACTGCTATTACAATAAGAAATCGCACGAGAAAAAGCCCTGCCATTACCCAGAACACGAAACCCCGATATACGGACACGGTTCACCCACATACGCCCACGAATATCCAACTTACGCCCACGAATATCCATCTTACGGCAGCGAGTATCCCACTTATGGCCCCAGTTATCCAACGTCTGGCCATGCTATTTATGGGCATAGTGATTCCAGTATCTATCCAGTGCTTTCGGAGGGAAACCAGGCGTTCACCAGGAATGGATTTATAAATAATATGACGAAATATACATATAAAAGCAATTACGCGCCCAGTCAGAAACACAATGTAAAAAGAAGAGTTAAAATTGTCGTGAAGAGCAAGGGAAGGAAGAGATCGCAGAAACTCAAAGGTTAGTTTAACTATATACATTTTTGAATTGCGTAACTCGCTAAATAAAAGTAATATAAAATATGGTTTTTTGTACCATATATCCGGTGGTACTCAAATTCAAGAATAAGTATCACTTTTATTTTAATATTGAATAACATAGATCCAAGATCTTTCGCTCCACTATGCAGTATAAAGTGTTGTCAAAGCGAGCATAAAATTGTTATATAGCACCTCCACTTTACATTTATAATAATTATTAATCTACTGGAGATAATTTAATGGCCAAAGCTTTAATACGTATTTTATACGATTCTCTTTTTATTAATTTTGTTTGTTTTATTTCTTGAGGCGATTATCTGCTAGCAATTTTTCTGCAACCTTGTATACTGGGAACCTAAAGCGGTTATAATTAAGTAATTAATATAGTGATTCACGTATCCCTTTGATTCAGATATAGGCGACATATCGTTGGGGAAATTTCGATTCCATTTTAAGTTCCGGTCAGTGTGACGTCAAGTAGTGACCTTCTTTAAATATCAACTAACTTGGTCAAGATTTGCCATCTCAGTTTATAAAACTGGCGGCAAAAGACGCACGCTTTGAAAATTCTGTGCTGCAATTTAATTTAAAATTAAACTTAATAGTGTTAATAATGTTGCGTGTATTTTTGTGTATTTGTTTGTGTGTTCCGGTTGTATTTGGACAGTTTGGTGAGTTAACGCAGAAGTTTTTACGCCTTTTACGTTTATTTATAAATTAATTCATATATTTTGTTTACTAAAAAACTGATGAATATGTAAGCAGTGAATTGTTAAACCAATTAAACTTTTAAACGTGAAAACCAGAAATACAGAGATCAGGTATACGCTCGTAACTACTTATGTATGTTTAAGCAAAAACATTTATTATTATTGATGAGAATAAAGTGCGTATCTGAATAATACAATAGGTAATATTTGACCCATATATTAAAAAGATACCAAGGAAGATAAACACAAACCCAAGAGAACAAAAAAAATATGATTTCGATTTACGATTTCTTTTGTAATTTATATGTTATTATTAAATTTACACCAAAAATAAATAATTTTAAAGGTAATGAATGAATAAAGTACCAATGAAGTACACTTGATATTATAATAAATTTTTTAGACCAATAAGGTTGATATACGCAGCGCAAACACAACAAAATAACAATACTTTTTTCATTTATTTATCAAAAATTACTTTTATTTCCAGCCGGCATTAAAAAGGAAAGTTATCTCTACATTAAATAACGAAATACATATAAATGTTTAATTGCCTAATCTAACAATTGATATCAAAACGAAAAGTAATTTGGTTTATTTCATTAAATCCTTTAAAATAATTTTATAAAAATATATTAAACTCTTGAATATAAAAAAAATTATAAAAGTCTTAATTAATGATTTATTTCTTTAATTTTTGGTGACCAACACTATAGCTTGAATTTGCCTGGCCTGCCTATTAAAATTATGTTATTCATAGAATTATTAATGAATCTCAAATTTTTAATACAAATTTTAAAAATTTCCTAACAATTTAACATAATAAAATAATCTAGTTACATCAAGTCAGTGATACAAAAATAAAAACTGGGAAATTTAATAGTAATTTTATTAAAAGATGTTATGAAAAAAATCAATTATTTTTTTACTTATGCTAAAAGTTTCATTGACTATTTGCTAAATCCTTGAGGTGTTTCATTACCACGACCATTTAAAATTGTTTTTTGTGGTTTTTGCTTTTTTAGCTTTAGCTTAGGTGACCTTGAATCCGAACGCTTTGCAATAAAGAACTAATACTCATAACTTATATTTCAAATGTCAATATTCGATTTTATTTATATTTTTCACATACTAGACTATTCTGTATTTTCTGCTTAATATTTGCACATTTTAATTTATATTTATAAATATATTTTATAACATATATATTTTATTCCTTGATAACAATTATCAGTACGATAATGAAAAGGAAAATTGTATTATACCTAAAAATCTTATATTTAATAATGATATTTATATATTTTAAATGTTTGCCAAATCGAGCAGTCGTTGGCCCAGTGGCTTCAGCGTGCGACTCTCATTCCTGAGGTTTGAGGTTCGAACCCCGGCTGACAAAAAACACTCTAAAAAATATGATGTCATCTTCAATAATTTGATCTTAGTTAATATTATGTATTATCTAGCTATAATTACAGATGTTTATTTATGGCTTTTAAATATTAGAAAGCTATTTTATTTTTCTCTATTTCACATAGGTTTCTACCCGAACGACCGTCGTAATCGACAGCCATACCAATATGGATTTAGTGAAAATATTCTAAATCCTAGAAGAATTCAGCAGAAACTTAGTTCTTTACTCAGTTTCCAACCTGAAACGGATAACAGCAACGCAGCCTTCATCTATCCGTTCAACAACCGACCTATATCCCACAATCCATATAATAACTATGATAACAATTATTATCAATCCAGCAACGTGAGATTTCCAACCTCGGGAGACAATTTTAAACCAACATATCCTGGTGACAATACTTTTGGACCAGATTATAAAGAAGTACCAAAACAACCAAATGGTCAAACATTACAAGGCTTCACAACGAATCCATCTTTGGGTGACGACACCCAAGATGAGCCTATCACCAATAGGCCTATTTTGAATTATGGAACTACGCAAAAAATTAATTACAATGAAGTTTACAAACCAGGCTTTTCAAATCACAGCAGTGGTCTTATAATGGGTAGTGTATTAAATAAACCAGTGTTTGGAAGTTTTATAACACCAGATTCAGCTACAAACTTTGATACCAGTGCTAAGCCTTCTTTTGAAGATAGAAACGGCGAAGAACAGACAACCCTACCAACATTGACACCTGTGCCGCCGTCAGATGCAAGACAAAACATGAATTTTGGACCAGCTGGAATATTTAGTAAATATTATATATAGTGTATTTATGGTGCATGGAACAACGCAATAGCTTTTATATTGGTGTTGGTGCATGTGGTATCATTCATACCCACGCTTTTACCTAATTAAAGTTAATTAAACAGAGGTAAATAGAGTTTTATAATAATCTTTGTTCTGCTTTATTGTAGAGCGTATTATTATAGTACTAAAGATTCTTATGTAGTCCTAGTCATGCTTTTATTTAAAATTAAATTACCTTAAAAGTACGAACTAAAAACTGAACGCTAATGAAGCCTTAACGTGATTGAAAGGTGACGAACGAAAGGTTGATGACTTTGACGCTACAGGTTTTTGTGTATTTAGACAAAATCTTTTAAGATATTTTCAATCTATTTTACGTGAAATCCTACTGCTTTTTATTTCGAATTAAAAATGTATATTAAATTGTATTACTGTATACAGTATATATGCACTGTTACCATGACATAATTTTATAAACCTGTTGTCCATATACGGTGTAAAGCAATTAGTAGACAGATCACAAATATCAATATTAACTATCAACTTCGGGTTTGCGACTATTATTTAAAATTCACTAGCCAGAACAGCTAATTCAGATTTTTGTAGTTAAATTGTTTTATAAATTAATAGTGAACATTAATAGTAACGTTACCTTGTAACTTAACGTCATATTACGAGTAGTAAGACTAAAACGAACAGAGTATAACTTGTTATAACGCTATCAATACGGCCAAAGTCACTAAAATCAAGATCTTTTCCTCGACGTTGAATAACACGTTCGAAGGCCACGGTGGTCATCGAGTGGGTCAAACGTGTACTTAATTCGCGCTATCACAACGAATCGTATTTTTGTATCGTTAGTACGCGAGGTGATTCCCCGTTTTTGTTATCTTATAATCTGTATACATGGGATTTCATATAGCTATTAACTGGAACATATTATTAAGGTTTTCTAGGTAGTAAATAATTAGTCTAAAATTCCTTTAACTTTTATAAAATACTCCAGCAACGTAGGTCAAATCTGATCTCGTAATCTATTTACGAAATTACATTTGATTTTTAAATTTGTTTATCCAGCCAGCGTACATAATTTTACAGTTGTATGTTCTTAAAAAAAACTACTTTGATATTGATTTATATTTAGCATTTTAGATAAACAAAAACAAAATCATTATTAAAAAAAATTTCATAAGAGATCAAAGATCGGAAAAATTATTTTAAAATTTTAAGCAATTCGGTGTATTTGTGCCTTTATTTGAATGGCCATGTAAAATTAATAATTACATCTTAAATTTTACGTACAGCATCTATAATTTACTAGCTAAGTACCTCCGCGAACCTTGTTAGCCTTAATTTTTTACCTTACCTTTTTAGTAGCTAAATACTGTTCGCTTTCACGGCATAAAAACCTAAATAAAACTAAATTTTTGACTTTTTTTAAAATAAATTTCCAATTTTTCCCAGCATAAAAACCTTCGTCAGAGTTCAAGGAATAAATGAAACAATACTCGAATTGGTCCAGCCGTCTTCGAGTTTTACGCTTAGCAACATATCTTGCGATTCATTTATATATAGACAGAGTCTGAGATATTTTAAATCGCTTTTATACTTCTAATGAGTTCAAAGACAGTATCCAAATTATTATTATGGAAACTAAAGTCGTATTAAATCCATAATCGCTAAAATCAACACAAAATCATCCATAACTTTTAAATCTAATTAGTGTGAATAACAATTATGTGTCATGCTTGGTGGATTTTCTAATTTAAATGTCGTAAAGTTTAGTTTCATATTATAACCACGTATATTTAAATTCTAACTGCAATAAAATAATATATTTACCTATTGTATTACACCCAGCAAGAAAAAGTTCCTTACCTTTTCTCGCTGAGTGTAAACTAAATAAAAAAAACCAGTTCAATTACTTTTACTTTTATTTTGACTATATTTCCCGTATACAAATGTAAAATAAATTTCGGGACGATTATTTAGATTCACGCAGGATTTTAGTACAAAACTGGTATTAAAATTGGAACGATTAAGAGATAAAGGAAGGATAAATTAATTAATGTTTACATTATTTACAAGATCCAGACATGAGGTTCTATCTGAGAGTTAAGTTAATCTTTCTAGAGAACACATGTGAGACGGTGGATGGCGGAGTTGGAAATTGCATAAAGATACAAGAGTGTGACGTCTACTATAAGCTGCTGAGGGATTCTCGGGATAAGACGGTTGTAAACATCTTAAGAAAATCGCAATGCGGCTTTGAAGGACAAAATCCGAAGGTAATGTTTTGTCTACTTTTGGCTCTGGCCCTGCGCTATTTTTAAATCCATTTAAAACTATCCAACCTTTTGTACTATTTGTATATTACAAGAGGATTTTTGTCTTGTTCAACGCGCTAAATTAAGCGGAAAGAATAGGAATGGAGTCAAGTGTATGAACGATGAAATAGAGTTTCTTTATAGGTATGCTGTCCCTTACCCGGTATACCAGACGAGCCACCAGCTCCACAGACCACAACAGTTGCTCCTACGCCTCAAGCAAAGTCCGTAGACACAGATGGCTTGACACCAGTGACGTCACTTCCGGAACCGCCAGTTTGTGGTGTGAGCGAAGCATCGTTTAGTCGAGTTGTTAATGGCGTCCCTGCTAAACTTGGTAAGGTGTATGATATTCTAAATAGTTACAAAGTTTGACTCAAAATACAATTTTTATTTGACCTAAAAACATAACAAAGTTTGACGCAAACAGTTCAAGCGTGACATGTCTGACCAAATCTAATATTCACATCATTATTTAATACGTATTCAAACCGTTAAAAATACAATAAGTAATAAAATCCTCTACTGTTTCATATTACAAAAACATAAATCTGTCAGCCGGGTTAAAATAGTTCTATGTAAAACGTGTACTGAGTACACGAGTAGTAAGATTTAATAAAACATTGATCAACATCGCCCACTCCGTCCTTAATATTATTAAAATAAATTCTGTATTATATTGTACCTATTATATCGGACCTATTGAGAGTCTAAGTGCGGAAACTGAGTCCACAAACCAATAATAATTAGTCTGCCTCATTCTCACTTTACCCCAGCTTCAAGAAATAACATGAAGCGATAACCACGATTACAACGTACTACATGTTTTGTAGAAAAAACATTAAAATTGCTTTAACAGCTTTTTATAGATCTATTTATCTAACGCAGACAAATTTGCGGTAATTTATTACAAATGACTATCTTACATAATTGCTGGTCATTTGTGCCAATACAAGTGTAATTACTGTGATTAACTTGTGTATAGCTAAGTGCAATTTACCACTTAACCTTAGTATATCTATTGTTTTGTTTTACTATTAGTAGCCAGCGAAGATTCCAGTTTGCTAATATATCAGTTACTTCGCACACATAAAGTTGACAATATAATAAATGTAATGACGTATATTATTTAAAACAGACAATCTGCGGTAAAGCGGTTATAAATATATACATATATATAGCAGTATTGGCCTGGTGGCGTGGGAATCTCACTACCACTGGTTTTTTTTTAATAAAATGGCGTACATAATAGAAACTACGCGCCTCCAAGCTAATATACATAAGGTAATCTTGGCGATAACTATGATTAATTATCGTCATGCCAACTTGGAAATAATACTTTCGTTAATTTCTGAAGCCTGAACTTGACTTTAAAGGTATTTGATGTCTACTGTAAAACAATTTTTTGGGCGGACTTCTGCATCTTCCAGCTATCGAATATATCCATAATTCAATTTCGCTAGGCCAATGCTGTAAGACTGTTCTTTCAGGTGACTTTCCCTGGATGGCACTGCTGGGATACCACGACAGCCGTGGAGGGCCTGAAACCAGGTGGAAATGTGGAGGTTCTTTGGTGACTCAACACCACGTTTTCACAGCTGCCCATTGCATACATGGCCATGAGGATCTGCTGTAAGTCACCCATTTGAATATGATGAATATAAAGTCACTCATACAGAACGTCAAAATTATTTTACAACTTTAATAATAACAGTTATTATTATTTTACTATTATTATTATTATTTTATTTTGCCTTGTTATAATCCTCTTTTGCGGACCCATGCGACTTCTTCGATACAAAACGTCCCCTCGGGAGATGTGTGCTGCGATATTGCGGGCTAATTATTTATGAGGAAGTTGCATGGATATGGTTAGCGCTGCGCCTCCTTAAATTCTCATATCCCGTGTATATCTTAATATTTCTATAACATAATTTCGTATCATATTGTCTTCATTTTAACATGTGTGATGTTTGAGTGCAAAAATAAAAATTTAATTGCGCAAAATCATAACAAAATTGACTTCCAAACTATTGCTTAGGAAAAAAAAACAATAATAATAAATAAAATGAATTGAAAACCTAGTGATTTGTACGGTACACATGCGTTCGGTATTATTGAGTTAATCGCGTTCATACAAACAGATAGAGGGATTGGGAACTTTACATTCTAATGTTTTAGACGATGTGTCGTGCCCTTTAATAAATACATGGTTTAACTTATTACTTATTTAATGTTTTTTACACTTTTTATTGTAAATCATGCTTTGAAAGTACTTCTTTACTTAAAGACTATAAAACCCCTCATTCATTACAAACTATGCAATGTATTAACCATATTGTAACATGCATTTATTATAAATTGTGGTGTTACTTAGTGACTCTGATTTCACTTATTTATCGTGATTCCAATAGGAAATATATATTATACAAATACAGTAGGAATCCTTGGTCCAGACCCTTGCTAGATAAACAACATACAAATCATTTATTTTTCGGTGACTTGGACTAAATACCTTAAATAATTGTTAACGTTTAACGAACATCATTAGGCACAGCAATCTTATTTCTAGCACGGTTACACACAATCATATATAACTTAAATGAATCCAAAACCGAATTAATAATTCATAATACGTACTTTTATCTCACTGACGAATCATTGTGACTGAAAATCTTGAATATCTAATATTAGAACTGAATCATATCCTTGTATTGTACAAGCTTTGAATTTTTATTTTAAAGGTGATGCAGTAATCTCGGAATTTAATAGGTAAATAAAATTTGTAAGCGTCCAAGAGTCTTTATTACTGTATAAGCTTCTAGTCTTTGTAAAAGAAGAAAAAAAAAAAAACCACCAAACATATTTAGTGTTGTTTGTGTTGTTTTAGTTTTTAGGAATGTTTTTATTTGCTTTATTTTCCATATCGAAATTTACATTTGTGTATAATAAAAAACTGGTATAAGTCTCCTTTGTTAATATAATGTTTTTGTTATAACAAGTAGTTAATAACAGATTTATATGCCTTAAAATTGCCAGTCCGATATTTAAGTTGATATTGCCAAACGCGAACATCCGCATTTTAAGCGTCGCAATTTAAATAAACACAATATGTGGCAATAAATAATAATTGTGGTATGGTACGATGATGATACCTATTATTATTTATTACAATGGCAACCTTCTGCACCCAACAACCTAACTTTTTAATACAATACTATATAGTCATTAATAATAATCCACTGGCGCTACAACGCAATATGAATCTTGGTTCAAATTATATCTGTATCTTCGTTCGTTCTTTTTTCAAAACTCATCGTGTTAGAATGATGACATGGCAAGGCAGGTTTACTCGCGTTGTTTATTCTCACCGAACAAGCAAATACAGAGATTCACACAACATTCTATCAAACACAATCTTTTAAAAAAAGTCTTTGTTTTCGGATCAAGCGTTAGGTCCAAGAATAAAAGCCCGTCATAGTGACTGATTATTATTACCTTGTTTTCGTTTTATAATTGAGTGAGTCTTGGTTTTATATAAACTTGGTTTGTAAGCGTATGTATACTGATCCCAAAAAATCTTCCATTATTCACAACGTTCATAATGTGAGATCTATGAGAGAATTCATACTTATAATCGAAGAATTCATACAAAATAGTACAAAAGTAGCAATAAAATACATAATCTTTTCAGGTATGTAGTGCGTCTAGGAGAGTTGGATCTAGCAAGTGAAAACGATGGAGCAGCACCAATAGATGTGCTAATCAAATCAAAGATCAAACACGAGAATTACGACTCATCAGCCTATACAAATGACGTCGCTTTACTCATTTTAGACAAGGACGTACAGTTTACCAGTAAGTTTATTTTATTACCACACTATTGCATAACGTCTCAGGTTATTCAAGTACTGGTGTATCGTCTTATGATATATGCGTTTCATATGGTTTTGCAAGCCGTTGTAAAGCACTTAAAATGACACAAGGTAACCTCCGAGTTCTATAAAACCGGGAACGCTATTATGCAAAGAGAGACACATTTTTTTCAGCTCAATTTAAACGTAAGCTGTAGGTAAAAGGAAAACTTCGCATTTAACTTCTTCGGCAAAAATATTTTGTTTTCCGTTCAAAGCTATACAAGTTTAAATTAATTGTGTTTTGTTTCAGAACTAATAAAACCAATCTGCATCCCTCAAAATCAGAAATTACGATCTCTCACCTTTGAGAAGTACAACCCTCTTATAGCAGGATGGGGGGATGTTTCGTACCGTAAGTATAACATTTAAGATATTATACATTTAAGACTTTTTTGTGGAATTTAAGAAGCATATAAATAAATTCATGGTTTATTTTTTTTATTTATTTAGTTATTAAGCTTACGACATCACACATAGTACTAAATCTACTAATTATTTTACAAAATCTTACATCTAAAATGTGTGACAATTAAGTAAATATAAGTTTAAAAAAAATAGAAATTAAAAATTAAAAAACAACACAATTAAAACATATACAAGATAATACAAGCACACAATAAAATACACTAAAATTATATAAATTTGTTGGCACCTAAAGCAAAAAAAAAAAGAAAAATCGTCAGCAAAACAGCGAATTAGGTTCGAGATAGGCACCCCACAATGCTTTCTCTAAAACCGATCAGCCCACTACCGAATATATCCAGCTCCGGATAAGCTGTGTTCAATCCGTTAAAATCGCGAAGAATTCGAACGAGAGGTGCCTGAACTCCTAGGTTGGTTTTGGCAGAAGGAATTTGGAAAATATTGTGAATGGTTAACATATAAATAGTTTTCGTAGTTATAATATAACCATGTTAACAAAATAAATCTATCTTAGCTTTTCAAAAAAGTTAATTAGAAAGAAATCTAATAAATAAGTAAAATATTATTTATAAAATCGTATAGACGCAATCACTTTCATCTTTCATTTTTATTTTCCAAAGAACAAAGTAAATTATTCTTCTATTGTTTTCAGGCGGTCCCTCGGCATCCCATCTCCAAGTAGCCCAGGTACCTGTAGTAAGTAACGCAGCGTGCAAAGAAACGTACAAACCGTACAAAAAGCAGGTGATAGATGAAAGAGTGTTGTGTGCCGGTTGGAAAGATGGAAGACAGGATGCCTGTCAGGGTGACAGTGGAGGACCCCTGATGCAGCCTATTGTGAGTATTGGTCATACCTTATTGCTTGTAGGAGTTTTTGTCTTGTTTTTCGTTGTAAATACGTTTAGCACATTCGAAACAGAAATAAGTCTGATATCTAGGTAAGCTCTGCCTTGCGATTCTGTAACTCACTTTTCGAACTCTCACAGCGGTTTATAATCGATAAATATAAACAGTAAACTTCAAGCTCCCTTCTTATCAGAATGCCTAATCGTAAAATCACTGCTTACGACTTGGCATTTGAGCGCGACCGCCGCTGTCGAAAACCGCTGTGAGAGTTCGAAAAGTGAGTTACAGAATCGCAAGGCTGTAGAGTAGATACTAAAACAAAACCACTTAAAGTTGGATCCATTTGAAAATGAGATTATTAACTATAATTATATATATTGTAATTACGTGTCTAGGTAAAGTAGGTTCACCCGCTTTAGAGCAAACATTACATTTTAATAACTTATTTTTTTACTTTTAGTGGAATTCGGAAACCTACGAGACATTCTTCTACCAAATCGGCATAGTTTCCTTCGGAAATAAATGCGCTGAGCCCGGATTCCCCGGAGTCTACACACGAGTCACACACTTTGTTCCATGGCTAGAAAAGAAGATAATCGGATCTTAATATATATCCATCCAACTATAGCTACATAACGACCGAATTTCTGCAATTATAGAGCATATTATTATCTTTTATATCTGGCTGCTGGAAGCTGGAAGACGCTTTGGCTTGCATTTTGAACTAGAAACAGTATTGAATTTCATTATCATAAATCTACAATAACTATCAATTAATACTACTGTTACTACCACTATTTATCTATAATGATGTACTTATCATATTCTTGTTTTATAAATATTTGTGGTTATTGTTTTTTTGAATAAGTAAATGGACAAATTTTCGATTGGTGAAATTTCACGAATGTATTTTAGTACGAAACATCGTTAAAATGGCGTTTGTTTATATATTACTGCGACAATTGAGACCTTATTGTATTTATTTTTGCACACAATATTGCATATAGTTAAGATACAGAAATGTAAAAAATTCTAATTTATGTGAAGTGATAATATATTAACCGAAATATTTTTAGATATTAAAAGTATTAAAATAGATTTTTAAAAATCTAAAAGAAAATTTAAATATCTGTTACAAATCTGAATAATTATAACACATTGGTATAATGGCCCTTGTATGGCCCAACATGAGTTAAAAAGGAACTAATTTTTGTATCTACATTTTTTTTAAATATCGAAACAAAGGATAATAAGCAAACTTTCATTGAACGTTTAACAGTTCTTACGTTCGCGTAACTTAAGAAATATTTAACTCTTAAGTTAAACTAAGTTAAAGAAAGATCCTTTTATGTGAGCTCTAATAATAGTTCATAAGGTTGTGTATTAAATTATTATAAATAGTATGTGATATTAGTTTATATTTATGTTACTTAGAGTCATTCGTTCTGATTTATCAATTAAAAATTAATTACGATCAGAAAGTTCACAAAAATCCAATCGGAACAGTCAGTTGCGAAATCCAAATATTTATTCTTAAACAAGTAAAATTTATAGCATAAACCAATGTGGTTTTAATTATATTTTAATGATTTACTTGACTTAATGACCTATAGCCCCTAAATGGGGCAGAAGGCGTCTTCGGTAAGTCTCCATCGCGTTCGGTCTTGAGCCTCGTACCTAGGCTCTCTTTGCCTCATCTGTAAGTGTACGACGCTTTTGCTTGGGACCACTACGCTTTCCCTTCTTTGCGGGTTCCAATCAAGCGCCTGCTTGGGGATATAATTGGAATATATATGGTATATTTATTATTTAAATTCGATGACTCCAAATTGACTGTACAAAGATCAAACAAATTTTATTGTAAGGCCCAACAGTATTTAAAACAAATCGAGTGAAATATTCAGCATTTCGGATGTCCAAGATTGAAATGAATTAGATTAGTAGTATACCTATTCATACTCAGATATTTTATACAAACATTGATAGCTGGTTGTTATTAATAACTCATTATGGCAATAAAAGATTTTGTATGTTTTTGTTGTAATTGATCCAAGCCCTTCCGTACTTGTAGTTAATCTCGTGAATACTTCCGGAATATAAATTAAAACTATTTGACGATACTGAAATTTCGTATTATCTTAGATAATTGTGTTATGACCTAATAAAAGGTCTTTAATCAAAAACGTCTCTGTAACTATTCGTTCATGTAATTAGTAGGTGATAAAGCATAAAATAGCAAATATCAGGAAGAGATATAGCACAAACCTGATAATGTAGATAGTGTATAATTTTATACGATATGCAATCACTAATCAGTCCTTTTTGGCAATCACAACTTTATTCACTAGAGTAACATTAATAACGAACATTTGTATTTCGTTTCAAAATGAGCGGTAAAAAATATTGTTTTTAATAAATTTTCATTGTATTGTTGTTGCGTAAGTGCATACGTTTTAGTGATAAAGTTGTAGAATACAAAATGATATCAAGTGAGTATACTAATACTAATTATGATTTTTGTAATCGGAATTAAATATTTTATGATTTTAATAATAATATAAAATAAATTTATCCGAGTAGTAACTTTTCAAATATCTGATTAAATTCTGTTATTAAAAATAAAATAACCAGACTAGTAACTTTTTAAATATCTAATAAAGATTAAGTTCTGTTATTTAAACGATTAAATTTAGTTAAAAAAAAATTGTGTCAAAAAATATGTTCAAAAGTTGCGTCTACACTCTACAGTAGTGTAGACTGGGTACGGTTGTGCCAGGGTACGGTTGTGACAGTCCTTATAACAGCAAAACTATACGGAATGCGGGTAAGGGTCCAAGGGAAGGGAGAAGCGGCATATGTTTAAACGTATTCCCACATTGTGTCAGCTAGCGCGGACGCTAACGTAAGCAGGATCTGTATTGCTTTTTAATAGTCAAAAGTAAGTTTTGTTGATGACTATTTTTTAATATTTACCTAGTGTCTGAATTCCCGTAACTATGGGAATTGTGAAAGCACATTCTAGGTGCACATTTATAGAATAGTTTCTTTATCTGAAGATAAAATCATCTTTATGTACCTACGGACTTAAAAAAAATTATATATAAGGGTTCCGTTACCGCGTAGTAATATATGTAATATACTGGTAATATCAACCAATTTTCAGTAGTACTAAAAGGATGGGAACTGCTTAGGAAGTATATATTGACCATACCTCGCTTCGATCTGTTCCTGCAAGGAGCTCTCCTCATCGTCATTTTCCTTGAGAGTAATATCTTTTTACTGCTGCGAAGAAATGACAATACAGGATTTATACATACTATTAACCAAGGTTTGTTTAAATATGATTTGGCCAAAAGGCCGTTTGAGCAAGAACGGCAAAAGTTTTGAATAACCACACATTTCTAAAAAAATAACTAGTGCGCAAGTATATAAGTTTGCTTAAAAAATAGCTTTTTCTTAAAGATTTCTAAAATCATATTTGGATGGAATCAAATGAAAAAAATCTTTTTAGTTACCAAACAAGAAATGTTTTTATTAATGCGATAAAATATAACACGTGTGCGTTATGCTAAATTGTAACAAATATTTGAATACTTACGTTTGTTATAAAATAAGTATTGACATATTAAAATAATTATCCCTTTTTTTAGATTGGGTAAAAGTTGGTATAGGTGTTGTGGAGTTTCTTCTGGGTGTTGTAGTGGCATGGCAAGGGAAAGGCTGGCGTAACTTCACACTCTCCTTCTGGCTGGGAATTACAGCTATCTCTGGTCTTATTATACTGGCCTTTCCATTCCCTAATATCAATGTACCGGAAGTTGGTAAGGTTTAAAACAAATATTAGAAAACTTTTTTTTGACATTCATAAGACGTGTACATTGTGTTACCTATATGAATAAATGATTTTGACTTTGACTTTAAAGAATCGAAATCCCATTCGGCTAGCAAAAGTTTTATGCGTTTTATGAATTTATACCTGGATAGTTTGAGATTAGATAAAAGCCTTATACTACAAGCAAGTTTTATTACTAATTAATAAATTCAAACGTTATACAGTCGTCTCTCAGTCTTTTATTTTACATAAACAATATTGGATTAATAATCAAAATATAAATTAGGCTACGAAACGACGCCCAAACATGGCAGGAAGAATACGTGAAAATAAAGTATAAAATGCCCTAATCCCACAATGGGGCATGGGACACACATGTTTCAGCATCTACTTCATTGATCATTATTCTTTAGAAATAGTTAATTTGTCTGGACACACTTCAGTTTCTTCGCGGTGTTTTAGCCTGAATAAAATAAATAATAAATCATTTATTTGCAAGAAAGTACGTAACAAATATATGTATTAGGTCCTTACATATGAAATTGGCGTTTTGTATGGGAGGAACAAAAAGTCGAATATTTTTAAATATAATATATTTAATTAATCAAAGTATGAACCATTGTTTTCTATGCACTTTTGCCATCTCATAGGTAGTTCATTGATCCCTTTACTAAAAAAAACAGTCGGACGGGAATCAATAAAAATCTGTGAAGGCGATTTGGACTGCCCCATCAGAGTTAAATTTTTTCCCTTGCAAGAAGTTGTCCAAATTTCGAAATAAATGGTAATCTGTTGGAGCAAGGTCCGGGGAGTACGGAGGATGTCTTAGACATACCAATTGAAGCTCTTCTAATTTGGTAGCCGTCTGTTGTGCAGTGTGTGGTCTAGCGCTGTCGTGAAGTAGCAGTGGCGTGGAGCGATTGACCAGCCTAGGTTGTTTAGCCGCTAGCTTTTCCATCATGGTTTGCAATTGCTGACAATAGACATAGGCCGTAATAGTCTGGCCAGATTTGAGAAAACTGCAATGAACAATACCGGCACTAGTCCACCAAACGCTTACAAGTAACTTTTTTGGGGTTAATTTTCGCTTGGGGCAGGATTTGGCTGGCTGGCCTGGGATGCCCCGCCCCCCCCCCCGGGGGGGGAGGAAAAAAAAAACACCCCCCAGGGGGGGGGGGGGGGGGGGGGGGGGGGGGGGCGGGCGGGGGCGGGGGGGGGGGGGGGGCCCGCCCCCCCCCCCCCCCCCCCCGCCGGGGGGCGCGCGGCGGGCGGCGCCCCCCCCCCCCCCCCCCACCCCCCCCCCCCCCCCCCCGGAGAGAAAAAAAAAAAAAAAACCCCCCCCCCCCCCCCCCCCCCCCCCCCCCCCGCGGGGGGGGGGGGGGCGCCCCCCCCCCCCCCCCCCCCCCCCCCCCCCCCCCCCCCGCCCCCCCCCCCCCCCCCCGGGCGGGGGGGGGGGGGGGAAACCCCACAAAAAAAAAAAAAAAACCCAAACCCCACCCAAAACCCCCCGGCAACCCCCCCCCCCCCCCCCCCCCCCCCCCCCCCCCCCCCCCCCCCCCCCCCCCCCCCCCCCCCCCCCCCCCCCAAAAAAAAAAAAAAAAAAAAAAATAAAATTTTGAAAAAGGGGGGGGGGGAAAAAAAAAAAAAAAAGGGGGGAAAAAAAAGGGGGGGGGGGGGGGGGAACCAAACAAAGGGGGGAAGGGGGGAAAAAAAAAAAAAAAGGGAAATTTTCCCAAAAGGGGGAAAAAACGGGGGGGAGGGGGGGGGGGAAAAAAACCCCCAATTATATTTGGGGGCCGAAATAAAAAAACAAAAAATCAAAAGGAAATTTTCTTTAAAACCCTGCTTATTTAATAAAATGATGTGTGCGAGATTTATGCGTCTATTCTAACTGTTATAGTTTGTGCGTGTGACGATTAACCTAATTCCGCCGCTCCAATGTTACTGAAATTTGTGAAAATATATTTTCTAAACGAACGCGCACTGAAAATAAAATCATTGGACCTCCAGTCGATTATGTTATGTTTATAATATTATTCTTATCATTATTTTTTCCGATAAATTACTAATTTAAGAAATAACAACATGAAATATTTCATCAATCATCTTTGTTTATCACAGATTACAGTATAATTATTATCAACTTATTTATGTAAAAAATATTAATTGGGTCTTATTACATAATATCAATAAATGACGTCAATGAAGAGTGTGTCTAATGATTATTGCCTATTTGAAAGAAGCATTACTTTAATATGCTTGGACGGAAGATTGCAGAGTTTAATATTATGTTTAAGCTACAACCTTTTAGGTATCAGTTTAAGCTACAACCTTTTAGGGTAGTGCCTTTGATTTATGTATATGTTTCGTCATCATTTGTTTTTTCTGATTGGCAAGTAGACAGTCTGTGCCTGACACACGCCGTCGACTCTTTGCCTACGGTCAAGGCATGCCAGTTTCCTCACAATGTTACCGTACGAGCGAATATTAAATTGTGACAAACAGAAAGTCTATTGATTCAAAGCCCGGAATCGAACCTCAAAGATCATTATTCTAATTTATTGCCTGATTTAGTTACACGTCATTTGACCCATATATTTGTTAGCTTATAATTAAGAATGTATGTAATTTTATTTTATTGCTAAAACCTTAAAGAATACATATTAAAACTGTTTTTCCCTCTAGAACTATGTGCTGGTGGTGCGATAACAAAATACTCAGAGGTCATAGATCCTCATCAAGTCATACGTGGTGTGTTTTTGGTGATCACAGCAGTGTTGTGTGGTCTTACAAAGATAAGCATATGGGCACATGGTATCACGTATCTGGATGATCATGAACCACAAAGTGGACCTTACTTTTATGGTGGGTAGTGTATTTAATATAGTTTTGAGCCCCCAAAACATTTTTGTAGCATCAAACCTAGAAATCTAGAAATTGAAATGTTAATATTCTTCCTCCCCAGGTATTCTTATCTCAATTCGTCTATCCCTGGGCCTGAGTGGCACTAACTGGCTTCGACCTGGGTCAGTTAGAGAGGACTGGTATGAGGCGCATGTGTCCCTCTCAATGCTAACTCTAATGTTCAGTATTCTTTACACTCTCTTCCCGAGGCAGATGCCTTCTTATAAGGAGATTGATCCGCTTGAGAGAACATGTAAGAATTTATTTAATTGCCATTTTTGTTCGTGTTTCATCATTGCTCTTTAATTAATAAGTAATCGCCTTGCGGCCAGATTATTATTCAGCGTTTTTCTAGGTAGTTTTTGCCGCGTACCACTGTGTGGAACCAGCTGCCCACTGAAGTATTTACGAACCAATTCGACTTAAGGTCCTTCAAGAAAAAAGGGTACCAATTCTTAAAAAACCGTCCATGGGCAGGCGGTATCACTTAACATCAGATGAGCCTCCTGCCCGTTTGCCCCCTGTTCTATAAAAAAAAGATATAATGTTAGTATTCCATTACTAGAATACTACTAGTTATAAAGTATACTCCTGCAAAAGCGACAATATAAATTTTCGTTACATAAAATATACTAAATTATAAATATATCATATCCTTATAAAATCTTTTTTCTTGAAGGTCTACTCCAGCCTCTTCGTCGTGTGCTGAAGAACAGGGCCCTGATCCTGCAGTCGTTAGGCATGTCCTTCTTGACGATTGCCATTTTTGGTTTCAATAATTACGAGACTTCATTGTTACAGGTTTAACTACGTATATTGTATAGTTTATTATATATAAGTATAGAAGACATTTATAGTAATCTCAGATCTCTTTTAATCAATTCATTTGATTCAGTTTATTTTACATACAATTAACAGTTTATTAACAAACCTCAGGTTTTTAGACATTATATTTACAATTTTTAAATTAAAAAATATACCCAAACCGGATTAAACATGTATAGGAAGAATTACTACTGAAACATTATGTACTAACCAATACAACTTACTAATAATTTATTGGTATATGTGGGGATGTGTAATGTGTTAGAGTTTTTAAGAGTGTAAGTGTGCGTTTAAAAATGTACAATACTAATATATAAGTTATATAGAAGTGATACTACATGGCCGGGAATATATTTTATAATAGTATTATAATATTGTTTGATTTCAGACAAAATTCTATGTGGAAACGATACGTCAGGATCCACGCACATCTCGGGTCATTATTGACATCTTTAGATCTCTAGTTATTATCTTCTTCGTATCTGTAAGTACCACATTATATTATTTTACATTTAATTCGATATTTTTACTATTCCTTAGTTTATTCATATTAAAATTTAATAACCATTAGTAAAATTCTCGTGTCACAATGTTAGTTATCATACTCCTCCGAAACGGCTGGTCCGATTTTTATCAAATTTTATATGCATATTCAGTAGGTCTGAGAATCGGCTATCTATCTTTCAACCCCCTAAGTGATAAGGGGTGTCCACTCCAATTTTTTTTATGATACAGCTCACAAAAATACATACAACCCCTAATTTTCACCCCTCTACGATCAACCCTTATTTTTTATTATTGTAGATAGTTATTTTAATTGAACTAAAATAATATTTACAAAACAAATGTTTGCCGGGTCAGCTAGTACTATATATATTTAATTATTTTTGAATGTATCTTCAGATATTCCGCATGCGTTTCTCGGGTCGGCGTAACGACGGTGTAAAAGCTTCAACAGCATCGAAGGTAGGGGGAGCTGTGGCAGCTTTTGTTGGAGTATTATTCTGTGTGCTTGCCGGTCTTAGCTGTAACACAGGAGACATGGCAGGATTAAATGGCGAATACCGACAGCCCGAGTGCAGTATGCAGTGCGGGTATGTATTTTTATTAAGTACGAAACCATGAAGATACAGTAGCTTCGAGTGTTGAATCTATTTCTTCTTATACGAGTACCTGTATATAACCTAGGCCATAATTTCTGAAGCGGGGTTTCGAGTTTCTTTTAAAAGGGGGTCGCAGTCTGTTGAAAAATAATAAATACGAACTACATAGGTAGGAACAAAAGACGCAAGACTGTTTTACTTAACTTTTTGGATTTTTCGTGGGTCGCGACATATCAATGGTTGAGAAACGATGACCTAGGCCCTTAATCTATAAATTGTAGTGGTACCAACCACGATCCCAATACCCATAGGTTTTTTTTCTACGCAATACCAAATTTGCGACATTATTACGTGTATTGAGAGAACTACATCCAACTTACATACAAAAATGTAGGGATCGTTGTAAGCTTTTTAGACGCTAGAAAGTTTTGTGAATGTTGGCGGGTTTCTTAACCATTACAACTAAAAATTAAAATTATCCTAATTCCTATTCCTTAACTGTATGCGTTTTGACCTACAATATTTAAGCTCAATTGTGGAGGTGTTTTCTACATGATATTATTCAATTTATAATTCCAAGGTGTTCTTCGGAGTCGTACGGGTTCAGTCCTGTATGTGAAGTGGATAGTCAAACCACTTATTTTTCTCCGTGCCACGCTGGTTGTAACCAATATGAGGATCTCAATGGATTCTTGTAAGTATACGTTGTGCTTATAACCGATGATGTATCCATAATGGGGCCTGACAGTCAGTGGCTAGACTGGTCGAGAATCCTCTTAAGGTTGGAAGTACAGTATAAGGTGTACTGTTTGCTTTATCCACACTTATATATCTTAAAACACGATTTTAACAAATGGTCATATTATAAAGCGAAACTTATCAGTACATATTTATAACATACTTAGTCATATTGACTACTCTAAATTTGATATATTAAACGTAAATACAGAACTAACACCCATACGTTTTCAGGATCTTACAAAACTGCACGTGTGGTGCGCAGACGCAACGCGCGGTGCGTGGAGGTTGTTCATTGCTTCCGTCGTGTGCTCTTATCTATAACATCTACCTGGTCTTCTTCACTGTCATGTTAGCTGCTGGAGGTACAGTGTTATTATTTCCGCCTTTCGAGGATGAACTGAGTAACTTTTAAACTAACAAAAACTAAAAATGCACCGGTTTCGCACGCATAAACAATCCAGGCATCTCTTGGTAATCTATCTTTTCGTAAAAAATACACTATAATGAGCAAAGCCTCAACTTAAACTTTGTAACCATATTTAGGATGATTAGAGCCTCGATTTTTGGACACGAAGAGCGATTCTAATCACATTTAAATTATCTATAAATTTTAGCAACTGTATACTAATAATAATAATAATATAGCCTTTAAATTCCGAAACTCTGTCATTTTATATATCTGAACTTTAATATATTTTCACTCCAGTATATCTCGGAGTTCGGTGTGCCTCTTGGCAAAGGCCTCCTCTAACCCTTTCCACTGTTTTCTATATTTTGCGACTCTTTTTAGTGATTCAGGAGTTCTTAAAGTCCTAATATTGAGGGATGCTATATATATACTGCTCAAAACAATTAGCGGAACAAGATTTTTCTCCTTTCTATTGCTTAAACTAAAATTAGATTTAAATTAACTTGAACGCTATTTTTTACCTTGTTAATTTGTTAATTACTACAATTAATAAAAAAATTCAATTTGTATTTTTTTTATTAAAAAAAAATTAAAATGTGCATTGTAGACGAAAAACAAAGTGACGTCTTTGAATTTTCATTACTTTCTAATCACAGAAAACACATTTTAAGTAGTTTTTTTCAATCTTTTGAGTATTAATAGAAATTGAAGTGAGCCTTTTGAGTATTGTTATTCATTGAAGCGAGTGAGTTTAGGTCATAATGCCAGATCTGACTGAATTGCATGTCTCCCGAGCTATCGCTTTGCTTGAAGAGGGTCGAACTATGCGTTATGTAGGAAATGATCTAGGAGTAGCCCCTTCTGTTAATCACAGAACTTTAATCACAGAACAGATTTTTTATTTTTTTTTACTTATGTAATTTTAATGACGTTGTGGTTTATGACTTTTTCCTTTGAATAATTGTAATGTAAAGGGAGGGCAAACTTGCTGAGTTTCTTGCCCGTTCTTCTCAGAACAAGGCCTCCTGGTAGTTTTGCGAACGGATGGCGTAGTCTTGCTCTTTCGTGAATTTTGTAAACGTTGTTGACATTCATAAGCATGCTCTAAGAAGCATCTAAATTGAATAAACGTATTTTGATTTTGATTTTGATTTGTTATCTACAGACTTTGGAAGCGATACCGTGAGACGGGAGAATACTCACGAAGGCGTGGTCAAGGTTGAAAGAGAAAAACTACACGTTTGCAAGATCGCTACATCGTCAACTGTGCTTTACGTAACCGCACCACAACTGCAAGAGATCTACAAAATACACTAAGGACGGCTACTGGTGTAGAAATTTCCGACCAGACGGAAAGAAATAGGTTGTTGGAATCCAATTTGAGATCACGCCGACCAGTTCGGGCTGTTCGTCTAACAATTCAACATAGACAAGCTCGCCGACAGTTCGCGCAAAATCACGCTAATTGGCAACTTCGACATTGGAGGCCAGTGCTTTTTACTGACGAATCACGATTCCGTCTAACACGTTGCGATGGTCGTCTCCGTGTTTACAGACGCCCAGGCGAGCGATACAGTGCAGCAGCAGTCCAGGAATATGACAAATTTGGATGTGGCTCTGTGATGGTTTGGGGCGGAGTTAGTTTGGACGAGCGCACAGATCTCGTCGTTGTTCCCGGGCGCTTGTGTGCTCAAACTTACATTGAAAATGTGCTCGAAGATCATGTTTGGCCGCAGCATATGGTATGGGCCCAGATTTTCTTTTAATGCAAGATAATGCCAGGCCGCATACTGCAGCCATCACGTCAGATTACTTACGACAGCAGGAAATCCCTGTAATGGAGTGGCCTTCCATGAGCCCTGACCTAAATCCAATTGAACACATTTGGGACTTGCTTGACAGGCGCATCCGGAAGCGTCCGATTGCACCTCAAACACTGCAGCAGCTCACTGAAGCGTTGATTGAAGAATGGGAGCGAATTCCACAAGAAGATATTCGGAGGATCATACGAAGCATGCCGCGTCGTTGTCAAGCCGTGATTAGGGCTCATGGAGGCCACACACGTTACTGAAAGTCACTAAAGACGAATATTCAAACGATATAAGAATATTTCTTTGATGGACCTTTTTTATCACCAATTAGTTTTTCGTCTACAATGCACATTTTAATTTTTTTAATAAAAAAAATACAAATTGAATTTTTTATTAATTGTAGTAATTAACAAATTAACAAGGTAAAAAATAGCGTACAAGTTAATTTAAATCTAATTTTAGTTTCAGCAATAGAAAGGAGAAAAATCTTGTTCCGCTAATTGTTTTGAGCAGTATATATTATGTTTTTTTGTTAGAGGGTGGTGGTCTGATCTTCCCGCGGCGACCAACCGTGGTGGGAAGGCTTCTTGATTAGGTTGTTTTAGAATGTGTTTCTTCCATATTTGTTTTGCTTTTCCGGTTTTAGTTGTTGTTGTTTTTGTTTTGATAGGTTGCTCGCGTGTTTTGTTAGTTTTTTGAAATGTCGGAGGTCGAAAACGATCTATCTCTTCCTATATATTGTAGTATGTTTGGTTATAATATTTCTTTTTGTCCTGCATTGTTAGTTTTAGTCGATGTGTTTTCAAACTTGTTAGATGTGTTCTGTTTTTTCTGTGTAGACAAGTTGGTAGATACAGTTTTATCTCTCTTCCTTTTTTCGCGCTGGTTATCCTGCAGTTTTTTAATCACCAATTGGTCTCCTCTCAAAAAAGATTTGTTTCCCATTTTCCATTCTTCCTCTGTTTTTGGCTGTAGTTGTTTTCTAGTTTCTAGTACCTTCTTGGTGGGGTTCTCTTTTTCAAATGTGCCTTTAAATACTATAAGTTTGTCGTATCTTATAAAAGCAGTATAGCCTTTCTCCTTTTCTTTCTGTAACTGGACTTGGAGTTCCTTCCGCCTGTTAAGGACTTCAATCGGATAATCCTCCTTAATGTAGTACTGAGTATTTTCTAGACAGGATTTGTTTTTCAGAATATGTAACTTGTAACTCATGCTGTTAAACGTTATAACAACCGGTCTTATGTTATCACCTTTCTTTCCCAACCTTCTGACAAGTTCAATGTTATTTTTGTCACATTGAAATTCAAAGAACATGTTTATTATATTTAGGTACTATAATATTCTCTAATTCAAAATAAGTATTCTCACTCTCTTCTACTCCGAACATGACTAGGTTCTTTCGTCGTGAATGCCTTTCTAAGTTATTTAATTTGTCTTTTTGTTCTTCAATAGTTTTTTCTAATTGTTCGTTTTTCAATTCAAGGTTTGCAAATTTCTCTGTACTGTATACTACTATATATTTAAAAAGCTCACGTAAATAAAACACTGAAGACCATCTTGTATATGTCCAGAATTTTTAATAAAGCATATATACAGTTACACACACATAGAATGCATGTAACATACACCCCGTATGTATGCCTTATTCCTGTAATTAACAATTTATAGTATTAATCTTATTGAATACGTATTTTGATTTATTTCAGCTGCATCCTTGTTGATGCAAGGCATGGTTGTTCTACGCTGTACGCGTCGGCGTGATAAGCCGCTGGCTGTGGGAGTGGCGTTTGCGATAGTTGGTCTGGTATCACACGCTTTAGGTCATCTCTTATATATGTTAATTAGTGGTAAGTGGGGTTATATTTTATTGCAAATACAGTTATAAAGTTATACTAAATTTGCTTAGAAGAAAACAATATTAAAAAAGCATGCGCTCGAAATTTTCCCTTTATGTTTTTCGTACATAAAATCATAATAAATTATATACTTAACCTTTAAAGAAAAAACTGTTTGACCGGATTGAAGTTATGTATTATTATAAATTTACAACTATTTAACATAATTTTAAATTTATCCGACGTTTCGCGTGCTTTACAGCGTGCGTGGTCACGGTGACTGAAGACAAAAGATGTTGGATGTCAAAAAGTATCACAGCTGTAGAGAAAGTTGCCTTATCTGTATTTATTACCCCGGGAGTTGGTATCGGGAACCCCTCCATCTTTTAGTCAATTTATAATAATACATAACTTCAATCCGGTCAAACAGTTTTTTCTTTAAATGTGTAAAGGTTATGTAAATCAAAGACAATACTATACTTAACCTTTCTCAAAAATCACCGAGATCTTTTTAATATGTAAGGAACTAAATTTAATCGGTCTACTTTCGCCTATATAAAAACTTACACAGCAATTATGTTACAAACAATTTATCTATATCCCATAAAGTATTATAAAATCCGTTCGTTAGGGATGATTTCACTGCGGCGGCAAGCGCATCTACGCTTCAAAACTTAAATTAATTATAATACATATACTTTTTTGGTTACAAGTTGAACGCTTAAGGAAGTGATTTTAAAGTTTTTATAATTTTCCAGAATTAACCTGTGCCTACAAAGTGAATGGCGTATGTATATTCCACGGGGACATTGTATGGGTCATGCCAGTCGTGAGTGTAGTGTTCTGTCTCATATCAGCAGTGTTAAGTTTCGCAGCCAGCCGGGCAAGTGTCAACAAGGTCGTCGCTCTTAACGGCGTTAGCTGATAGTAAATAATGGAAATACTATAAATGTTTTATTATACCCCTCTTAATTCCTCCCCTCGCTTTCCAGTTTATGCAAGATTACCACACTTTATTTTTTAGTTAAAATTTTATTTATTTTTCAGTTAAAATTTTATTTATTTTTCAGTTAAATATTTATTTAAAAGGGAAAGTGTAGGTCCATCTTTTATAATGTTTTTTAATCAGCATCCTTTTGTTATATACTCCTTAATTACAAAGATATTAAGTAAAAATCAAAGACAAAATACGTAAAACTCTTTATTCCCCAATGGCACTCATTCTAACATGAAAAATATTAATATACAAATATTAGAAAAAGATTGATTATACTTACATCCTAATATTGTGCTTATCCATTGAAATAAAATCCTAAAACATACTAGTTGACACATGCGTTATATATTTTATTAACACTTTGCAAATTCAAATATGTCTTGCTCTCTCTTCTAATATATGATAGAGACGACAATATCTTGTATCTACTTATAAAAATAAAATTGACTATACCTACAACTATGGAAATATTCTAGTATAAATAACAAGAAGAATCAAGAAATTTGTTTATCAAAGGAAAATTTTGATTAAACATTGACGAAATTTTTAATAAATTATTTTATAAAGGATAATATAATAAATAGATTTTTTTACGAATTAGTGATCTAATATACGCAGGTTTCCTGACACTATTTTGTTTTCTAGCAGGGCTCCTGACGGGATGTCGATTCGATCACCGTGATTAGCTATTATTATTACTGTACCCTGAAAAAAAAATTATTATTAATAATTAAAATGTCATGTCATTCGAGAAAAAGAACATTTATCACACTACAAATAATAAAATTACTCTTAATAGGTTTTTTTGCCAAAACCAGATTTATTTTATTTCTTTAAAAAAATTATTTGTTTTTATAAGCAAATGATTTTGCAAAATAATTTTAACGATTCTAATGAATAAGATATACTTCGGTCGTACAGTGATTAACAAGACGTATAATAAGTAGTTAAAATCTAGAAAAACGTTATAGTTATCGACAATACAGAAACCTATACATTTTAATCAAAACGTAATCGATGTGTTTACAATTTGAAATACCATATTTTTCTCGTATTTTCAATCACTTATCAATAAATAAATATTACTTCGAAAAACTTATAAAAGTTTAATAATGTATCTCTAATATAAGCAGTTTGAACTCACCTTCAAAGAGACACCTCTCCCAAACGTAACATCACCGGACACCGTCAAATGGTCCAACTCGATCAGGTCCGGAATAGTCGCGAATCTATTCAAAAATTCCTTAACCTTCGCAAAATGATTGTCACCCAACTTCACTAGAGGCGTAGACGGAAACATGCGCTGTGGGGACATCACTAGCGATCCGTGCGACAGACTGTACAAATTGGACATCACTAGCAGCAAATCTGACGTCTTCTTCACCGGTAGGAACCGGCTCCTTGGCACATTCACCCCGATCCCACCCTCGAAGCACTTCATCGCTGCACCGACTGCCGTTTCCAGCTGGATCACGTTGAGACCGTCAGCCAAGCTCTTGTTATTGACGATTATCTCCATGTTTAGGGATCCCTGTTCGACCACCCTTTGAATGGCGTCCAATTTCGCCCATAAGTTGTTCGTGTTGAAGAATTTGAACTGGCTGACAGACTTGAAGTCATCGACGTGTTCCTTCGGCACTTGGGCAATTTCTAACAGCCTCAATTTGTCTTCGTACTGGATGAGAGTGCCTCCTTTGACATCGGCTCGGGTCTTGTCGGTGACTTCCATGACGAATTCAGCGCTCTTCTGGTCAGGATTCAGGAGTAGACTTAGAATGTTCAGGTCGACGGTCGCTCCGAGGTTGTCGATGTTGCTGATGAAGCAGTAGGTTCGGCCTTCTTTGATGAATTTCTGGAGGAGACCTGAATTATTGAAGGATTCGTAGAAGTCTCCGTGGCCGGGGGGATACCACCTGCAAATGGAAATATTTTGTTAATAACATTTTACGTTGGCTCAAAATTATACAAGTTTGATATCGAATATATATAAAAGATTAATACACATAAAAAAAAAAAAAGGGGGGGGGGGGGGGGGGGGGGGGGGGGGGGAAAAATCTCGTTTAAATTCATTGATATAATCTTGAACGAGAGTTGGACACACTCTCTACTAAGCACTGTAAAATATCTACGTAAATTATGTGTGTTCACCATTAAATACTCATAAAATTTTTCCAAATTCATTGTAAAGGTAACAAGGATTCGAAATTCAAATTCAAGATAATATTTAGAAATCTGTGAGAATGTTAAACAAAAGAGAAAACGATTTTATTCATTTCATTTTGATTGGTCAGGACGTATCGTGTCTATGATTGGTCTAGAAATTTTTAGTACAGACTGAATACAACTTCAATCATTTTAGTACTTACGCTTCAATATCATTATGTACGTCTACATTCTTTGGCACGGGCAGCAATGACTCCCTATTGATTCTCGGGTGGCACGATTGGTTAAATGTATGAATATCCAATTTTAAGCCCTTGTACTTGCGGATCACTTTCTGAGTATCTTCGTCCGTGTTGAACGAGTTCATTAGGACCAGTGGTACATTACATTTGTAGGTTTTGTTAAGGTGCTGGAAAATAATAAAATATAATGCTTAAAATACTTTGACACACGTCACAATAGTGTCAATGAAAATGCTCCCTAAACAAATTCGTTACATTATTTGTATTGGCATCTTGTTACAATATAACATGCATATATAGTATATAACATATTTACATTAATAAATTTAGTTTTGAAAACATAATATTAAAACATTTCTCCATCTTTTTTGTAGATAATTATTCTTTGTGAACTTTTTGACTTTTTGTTTTACGCTGATTAACCGAATTTATCTTGAATTTAGTTTCAAATTTTTCTCATTGTAATCCATGCATTATTTAAAAATGTCTATGCAAATTTCGTCAAAAGGGGATCAACAGTTCAAGCGAGACAATTTAACTAATACATTGTATACTTTCTCACCTCAATTTGTTGTACAGTTAAATCCAGGAACGTAAGCTCATTCCGAACCTGAATCACGGACTTAGGTCCTTTACAACCCATGGAAGTGCCAAGACCACCATTTAACTTTACTACGACCAGCTTATCCAGCATATGGTGGATGTTATCTGTGGTCGGCGTGCTCAGAGTGGAGTAGTCGATGACAGCGCCCTCGGGCAACTTCTGGATTTTCTCCCATGTTACAGATGGTCCCTCTGTAATTCAAACATAAATATATTAAAAAGTGTACATTTTCGTACTCTGGTATGGCAAGCGACACACGTCTAGTGCTTGAAGATTTCTCTTTATCGACATGTCGCTTCTGTTTAAACATGTTAAACTAATAAGCCTATACCAATTAAGTCCCGAAATCTCTTGTTTCATTTAGGACGTTCGAACTTTAATCAAACTTAAATGAAGTTTCAAGAGCGGTCAAAACATTTTTCCTGTATAGAATTTAACATATTTAACAGCTCAAGACGAGATTGTTACTTGAAATACGAATTAGAATATGGGCCTTAATGTTTATACAATGTATAACAAACTTAGTTTCTCCATCGAAGTATTTTGTCAAAAATAAACAACAAAATAGGTAACAAAAAGTAATTTGTTTTAAACATTTTAATCTTTAGGAAATTTCATTTTGTACAAAAATAAGATAATAGACAAAGATATCTTTTTAGCCTAAGAGATATCTTTTTAGTATAGGTACATTAGATTTAATATAATACTCACGTTCAGCCAAGAACCTGCTAAATAAGTTCTTAAAGCCCTTGAACTCCTTCTCGACTACTGGTCTCTTGGGTTCAGGAAGGGTTGAGAGTAGCCTCTCTAATTCCACCTCCAGGCGAGCTAGTGCATCCCTTTTGGTCGCCTCTTTGAAATCTCTGGATCCTGATGGTGTTCTTTGGTGACTCCGGATCTGAAAGATGGGAAGTAATCATGTTACTTTCGTATTTATTCAAACGGCTTAATTTAATTAGACTTGGTTTCTTTAATTTATTTATTTACTTACAGCCCATGCATGGCCAAACTCAGACTAAAACTAATGCTTTATAACGACTTTATTTGAAAGACTACTTGAGGATTTGAGTTCCATTACTGGCATTTAATCTACCTACTTCCGTTAAAAACCCGCTCCGTCGGGTTTTTAACTCCTACTACTCCTAACGTCAACTGATAAGTTACTATTATGGGACTTCACATTATCAAAAACAAAGTTGCTTTGCCATTACTAATCAAATCTACCCTCTAGACTCTCTTCTCATCATGCGTAGGCAACGGTTGGGCAATAGTAGCCATTAGAAGTTTTTTTTTTCATACAAATACTTAATAGGATTGAGCAAAATACCGAGAAAAATACACGAATAACATAATAATATACTTGACGTTAATGTTAGTTGTAACTTAATGACATCTTGCGGTCGACTACACCGCAATTATTTTAATTTGTATTTAATATTTGAAATCTTAGTAAAAACACGAAAATTCCTTTTTTTATTAGTGAACTAAAGGTCATACAATATGTGGAATATATTTGTTTACGTTAGTAAATAAAGTAGCAGTTTGACAGAGGGGCCTTGAGCACAGTACGCTAGACGTTCATGATTCCAAAAAATACGAGAGCCACAGATTCAGTCAAGCATGACAAAATGGAAGTGGACGGTACATGTGGCTAGACTTTAATATGGGAGAGGGACAAGACTTGTCACCTCAAGGAATGGACCTAAAGGTAAACGGAGCAAAGGACGACCCCAAATGCGATGGGAGGAAACTGGACGTCCTTTCTAAAATTCCTGGCCTATATTGGCTCCGGGCCCCACGTCTATACCTGTGAAGGGGGTTCCTCCAAGTTATAATTAAATATAAGATATTTTTAATTGTGTGTAATAAATAATAAAATGATATATTTAATTATGTATCTGAATGAATAATAAAATGTTATATTTTTTGTAGATAAACAATAATTATCATCTATTAATAATAGTTTATCTAAAGGAATTTAAAGGCTCTTGTATGTTATTTATTTTTTGTTAAAGGACATCTTTTAAAGGCATGATATACTATATATAATGAAGTGTACAAATAATTGATAGAATTGAGTCCCTTTAGTACATGAACAAAAAGCAATGACCTTTAACCTGACCTCTGCTATCAAACACGATAAATGGTCAGATTGCACTGTCCTCGACTGCTACTGTTAATAACAGATTCCAAAATTACGCCCAAAAGTGAATACATAAATTTAGTTTGCATTATATCAGATTATTTACAACGTTAAGGTATTAAACTTAATAAAAACATGAAGAATTTTCGTATTCATTAATAAATAATTTTAAAAAATACTAAATTAAATTTTTGTAGTGTGTGTGCTTTACAATCGAAATATTAAATCTTTGTAAACCGTGAAAATCCTTTGAGTCATGGCATTCAATGACACGCATTAATCAATTTAAATGATACAAACATAACCTTGATATTATCATGAATGATACTCTATACGCATAATAAAATGCACAAATAATGACTTATATAATTGTTATGTCACCTTGAGAAATAGAAATTATGCGAGTAATACAGATATAAATAAAACCTCTTTATATAAAATCATTATATTATTTATGTAACTTGACATTTCGAGCGCTTTTAAATGTAGCCAACACATAGAAAACCAGAAGATTTAGATTTTATAATTATAAAATTTTTATTTTCTAATTAACTCGAAAACTACTAATTTCCGAGTTTCGAAATTCTTTCACCAAGCTACTGTCTAATATGTCAAGTGAAGAAAGGCGTAATGGTTGCAGTTTCTATTCTATTAATGGTTCAATTTCCTTGCAGACCAAGACATGGCCATAAAAAGAGTGATGGAGTCTTGCCAGTTCTTGCCTGCTCTACGCCCTTGATTTGGGAACTGGTACTAAATGTTAATTTAAATCTTCCTTACCAATATGATAAAATACATTGCGATTTAGAATTTTTTCTAGTCGTAATGACTACTCATTTTAGATTGCTAAATTTTGTATACTATTATCATGATAAACTAGATAGTAAATATACGTAGGATGAAATCATCTATACATATTTTGTAAGAAATTGTGAAGCTATAAAAAAAGTTATACTTTGCTTTCGTGGATTTCACAAAAAGTTATAATTAGCTCGCGACAAGGAAAACCTAAGAGGGAAAATTTATAAAATAATGTTTAATTCGATTTCACGTGGATATTACGATGATTATTATAAATATAAATAATTTTTAATCATACGTGATATTAAAGATACTATTCAAGTTATTAGAAGAATGAATATTATATATGTGAGTTAGTACGACCTCTGTTAACCATTTTCATACTATTTGCTTAGTCGCCTATTTATTTAAATTTAAATATCAACTATATTTCATTGAAAAATTCTACTATAAAATTAATTATAGTGGTTTTGGATAACGTAATTTAGTCAATTGCTTATAACTAACTAATTTATAATTCATATCTAGGAACACATACCCATGAACGTATAAATTCTGTCTCACTTGCCATCACTAATTAATTAATATATCAATACAAACTAATGCCTGTCTCCAAACCAACCCAATTTAAACGCAATTTTTGTCTTATAATTTGGCTAATACATCTGGCTATGGATAAGATAAAGAACACACGTAAGTTACCTCCGTTGCGCGCACGCACACTAGATAACTAATCGTAAAATCTTATATGTACTGCAGATAAAAATATTGTGCGCCTAATTAAATTCAATTAGCTTTATAAAATGACAGCGTATTCAAGCTTACTTACAATTGCATATCAACAAGATAAAACGATATACTTACTCAAACTAAAAAGTTTTGCAACGAACGGCCATGTTTTCTTTAAATTCTACTCAAAAATCCATATTTATCTCCTAGTTTTACAATAAGTAGGTAGATAAAATTATACAAACATAGAAATAAAATATTGACTATATTTCAATAATAATAACTTGTGTTTAGAGAATAATAAAAGTCGCATCGCATATACTGTGTAAAATTAATACCGATAAGTATAAAATGATACTTTTAAATTTTTATATATGTAGAAATGTATTCGCGATAGTCGGATTTTGAAACAGGCCGTACTACAGTCAAATAACTATTTATAAAATCCTTTTTTTCGTAATTCATTGAATTTATCATTCGCCTGAGACACTGATAAGAATTTTCCAGAAGGTTTCGTTTATCGTTTATTGTTCAGCTAATTTATAAGCTTCAATTGAGTCTATTACTCGAGCGCAATAGACATCGAGAATCGGCGACACGCGAGACGAATCAAAATATTTAAAATAACCACAGTATATAAAAAAAATTTTTTTAAATAAAACCTTAAAGCAATATTATCAGGGCAGTTCAATGGTACATTCCAAATTCTAAATAAAATAATGGAAAAAAAGTACATGTAAAAGATTCACTGCCTAGTAAAAAGAAATAAGAACATTTAAACGCCTGAACAAATCTTCATAAATTGTAGCTAATAACCATATTGATCATGACTTGATGACATTTTAATATTATATAAACGGTAGACATCAATGTCGAAGTAGATCATATAAAACGTATAATAGATGTAAAATTTAAATCCTAAAAAGTATTATACCCGTTATGTACATAATTATTGTGATATATTTTATCATAAAGAGTCATCGTTATGGGCATTTTGGTAGATTATCAATAATTTGACTTAGTGAAACGAAAGTCAGGCAAAATAATTATTCTTTCAGTCATGATCACTTTGAAAAACTAATTACAATAGATAGTACCCTAACAATGTGGACGTAATTATTGTGAAATACTTTTATCATAAAGTCATCGTTATGGGCATTTTGGTAGATTATCAATAATTTGACTTAGTGAAACGAAAGTCAGGCAAAATAATTATTCTTTCAGTCATGATCACTTTGAAAAACTAATTACAATAGATAGTACCCTAACAATGTGGACGTAATTATTGTGAAATACTTTTATCATAAAGTCATCGTTATGGGCATTTTGGTAGATTATCAATCATTTGACCTAGTGGAAGGAAAGTCAACCGAAGTAATAATTATTTCAGTAGGTACGCACGGTGATATATTTGGCTATTACGTGAATTAAACAACGAAGCCTATGTCCCATTAAACAAACAACTGAAAACCAAACTAATATTTCGTCGGTCCATACACCAGATACTAACTAATGAACATTGTAACACCTCAATAAAGTTTAAGGCAAACATTAATTGTTATATGATTTAACTGTCTGATTCCTTAATTATTTTCCGTTTATGCGAGTATGATAACAAGTTCAGGATTTGTGCATACTTTATTTTAAGGATGTTGAGTACTAGAATATAAAGCCAGGGGTAGATAAAATCACTGATGAATTGTTCAACATGTCCTCTACCATGAACAGTATCTATAATCCTGAGATGGTATAACAAGGAAACATATACGCAAGAACGCGTCCCAACAGTATGTAACTATATAGAATTACCTATTTAACCTTGCAAGTATATAACGACATAATTTACATAGAGAAGCCTATAATTTACATAGAGAACAACATTTTCGTTTTTAAATAACTCTAACAAGAAGTGTTTATATGTTAACTGCACAGATAATAATTAGTGAGATTTAGCGCTAAGAACCTATAAATCGAGATATTGAAAGCTGGTTACCGTAAAGTAACCCTAATTGCGCATTTATACGTGGACAGATAGCCTTTACTTAGAACATATATATTAATTTTTATATTTGTTCTCTCCTCTTGATAGAGTTGTGGTAATTAGCACCATTAACATTATGATAACTTGGTTATTTCAGTTATCGTAACCTATGACCAGATAAACCTTATTATTTATCTGTAAAGATACGAGACGGACTTTAATTATCATTTACTATAATTTTATTTTTCTATATATGTCCACCTTCGTACGGGAGATTACATTATTCAGGGTAAGAAAAAATAATGAATTTATATAATTTTTATTTTACGTATAAGAAATAGTTAAATAAAAATAAATTCACCGGAGACGTGCCCCAAAATGTCCGATTACGAGTAATATTCAGACAGGGGCCCACGCTTGATAAATAACTTTACATATGCCAAAAGGAAGATCTTGCATTGGTACCTTGGCAATGGTATTTCAAAGAGTCAATTATGATTCCTAGATATCAAAGACCAGGCAGGGTATTTCAGGCAGTTGTGATTTATCCGTTTGTTTGATACACTTTTTTCTTTTTTTAATGTTAACCGAAAAGTTGCGAATAAATATTTTTCGAATTATATAACAATTCATATTCTAATAGTTATCGCACCGGCAATTACTTTGTTTTATAACTACGATAACAAATTTTAGTTTTAAAATTTGTACTTAAAATAATGCGTATATTATTATCGCTAGCTAAGGAATAGTTTCCATTTTAATACATATTTCTTCTAGAATAAAAATGGTTATAACTCATAACAAATATTTAAAATGATTACCTTCGTTAGCAAATCCATTTGAATTATCAATATCGCGATGAGAAAAACACAAAACTAACGTCAAGTTAAAGCGACTGTTTAGCTACAATTAACTTATCTTTTTATATGTACCTACATAATAAACGTTACGAGTTATATAAGAAAAATGTTCCGAGTAAATTAATAATAAAAAATAATATTTTATTTTTTATGATTAAACAATAATTATTAAAAGACATTCCCTCTAACAGAATTTTCAGAATTTACGACTTTAGGTAACCGGTAGCCTCTATGTAAAGTATAGTAACTTTATTATGTACGGAGTGTCAGGAGACATTCCGAAATGTGTTTATGTAATCAATAAATAGCTTGCAAAGCTTAATCCTTTATCGTATCCTTAGTGAATCTAGGGATATCTGCACCAAGAGACCAGAGCCATAAAGCCTATGGGAGGACGAAAATTCTCCGTCATAGTCCGTTGATTTCTCACAGCTATCGCGAAAGCACAACATAAAATATATATAATATTCATGCAATAATAGATACAATATATAATAAATAGAGTCAAGGAAGAAATAGCTAAAGTACGACGCATTTTATTTAAACTAACATATTATAAACTACTAGTGTAGTATTGTCTATGTATTAAATATAATTAAAATCTTAACTATACTTTTTAAACTAACTGTGATTAAAAAATACTTACATTTATAAGCCAATCCATTTTATTTAAACTCAACGGTTCTAAGGTCCTTATAACACTACTTTACACTTGTGTTCAGTAAGCAATTTGCCTTCTAACTAAATATGTAGTAGACAGTACAAGAGTATTGTTTATCTATGACATGATTAGGGTAAATGAGACCATAAGTACTTGTTGTATCAGTCATTGACAATTAGTAGTAATGTAAACATAACTTAAGTAATATTTAAGTATGAAAGAAATTTTCTAGTTGGCTATGACTGACAAAACAGACACTGAAGTAAACTTGCCTCAAGGGGCAGAATCTTTAAATGCTGTTGAAAAGCTATTTAAGAAAAAATGCTGCTATATCCCAAAAAGATAATAAGCTTCACTGTCATAATTAATTTGACAATAGAAATATTGCTAATGACTTTTAATTACCAGATATTATTAATTCAATTACAGTAATTAGGTAAATGGACATTCACAAATATTCATTAAATTTTTATTTAATGTTTTCCTAACGTCTAAATTTTGTTTTCTATGTAAACCATATTACAAACAAAACATGCATTTTAATAACTATAAATTACCATGGTTTATAAATAATATACCTATGTATAATGGATATATGAAATTCCACATGTGCCTACACATGCAAAATATCTACAGTAACTTTGTAAATGGCTATTCACAGAATGAGCCCTAGGGTCAAATTAAAAATTAATATCACAAAAGTATTCTCTTACATCATGATTGCTGAAACATCCAGGTATGTAAATAATTCAACAAATTTGATTATAAAATTTATATTCATTATTGCTATAAACATTTTTATAAATAATTATATAAAAGATAATAAAGTGATTTTTTTAAATAAGGGGCCGTTCAAGTATTACTTAAGCACTATAGGGGAGCTTTGGTTTTCTTAAATTGCTTTTTTTATTATATTTTCTTTTTTTTTAATGTTGGAAAAAACCACATACAATATTCACTTGTTTTATATGCAAAAGTATGTACATATGTAAATGTACCTAATTGGGTTTATAAGTTTTCCAATTCTTTAAAATGCTTTTATTTTTACACAACTGAATAAACTACACTACTTTTATCTTTTAGGGCATTGCTGAATAAATATATTGATACAGGTGATGCAAATATATACGTTGAACTTAAGATTCTTAAACAATTATATAGGTTTATCAACAAACCACTGAATATACCAACTACACTAGTACACACACACTAGTAACACTAGTAATGTGTTACGAGTATGATTTAAAAAAAATGTTGTTTCTGTATGCTTTACCTATTTATAAAATACATACTATAAATCTTAAATACTTTCATGCACTCCTAAACAATAGACTAAAAAG